AAGGGGAGCAGAGGGGAGGGGCAGCTGTCAGAGGGGCAGGGGGGTGTCATGACATAAATCTGGAAGATGAATAGGAGATGTTCTATGTAGGTTGATAAGAGAAGAAATCGGTAGCAACTCTAAGATCCAGGGTGCATGTGGAGAGGAGGGAGAGAGAGAAGTTATGGAAAAAATAAATAAAAACTTAATTTAATTAAAAAATTTATATCCATGTATTGTGATAGTATAATGGCATGACTTAGCCATGTAAAGGACCAATAAGGTAAGAAAAGTTCCATGACCCACTACTGGTGGTGGTGGTAGTGGAGGTGGTGTGTGTGTTTAATGCTTTAAATATGTCTAAAGATTTGTCCCAAGATGAAATGTTCAATAAATATAAGAAAATGCTCTAGATCATGTGACCACATTCTGGCTCAGGAGGGCTAAACTGCTCTGCTCTGCTCTGCTCTGCTGCAAACAGAAGTTTCTAAACTCTATCCACGTAGAGGATTTTTAAAAATTAGAAGGAGAAGACAGACAATTGGCACCTCTAAACAGAAGCTGGGAGATGCTTTCCTGTGGCTAGCGCCTGCTTTGCTAGGGTTTCACTACAAGGGATTTCCTTCTGAGGATGGGATCTCCCCAGCTAGCTCCCCTGTTTACCATTTCAACATCACGTGATCTCCAGATGGACTGCTCCCTGCTTCTTTTATTTAGGCACTTGAAGCAGAGTTCCCTGTTTACATACCTCCCACACTTGTCCTTTTTATGGAAATCCGCTCCACTGCTCTGCAAGAGTTTTATACATTCCACATTACTAGAAAGACAGGGAAAACATCATTAAGGTGGTAGAGGTGAATTGCGGGCTCTCTTCAGAAAGAGCTGTGTTCTGCAGAGTGCAGGGAGAGATGAAACGATATATCCAGCTTTAAATTCTGCTAACACAAAAATAATCTAAACATATTAGAGCAATGCCATATGAAGGGTCTAAAGATCCTAAAATTACTTTTTCAAAGCTAAAAAAAATCAATACATGAAAGAGCTTGATGAAACATTTTCAATTCCATAACTATAGATCTTAATGATTATTACATGATTAAGCCCTTCAGTGATGGTTAAATCATTTATCCTAAAATTCTCTTTCAAAACCATGAAGAGTTTATGAAACAACCCTTTAAACCTAGAATTTTATGTCACCTTTAAACAATGAGCCAGAGTGGATGAGCACCACATTATATCATAGCAGAATGGATTCACCATGATAACCTTTTCAACCCAGACTCTCCTTAATGGAAAATAAAACAGCTGCATTTCCCTGTCTTTGTAATCTAGGTAAATGAATGTGCACAACCAAGGCCGAAAATGATGTAATGGAGCACAGTGATCTTCCAAAGCTTCTTTGTCATTCGCAGAAGCAATAAATCATGTTTAGTAGAGAGCAGAGGACCCACTGAAGTGAATTTTCCTATTGAAGGGCATGTAGCTAAATATTAATTCTAATACATGAATTCAGAATGGTGTATTGTCGATTTCTATACAGGTCTGATATTTTTTAAAATGTGAGCATCAAAGGAGACAATCATCCATCATTGTTCTAAACTCAGAATGCTAAGAAGTGGCCTAGGATTTACTGTTTTATTATCATTTAAGAAAAGTGATCTCATTAATGATAAACCTGAGCAGGGCTCTCCCTACCCCACATTGCTCTTTACAGACACCTTTCTCAGAGAACTAGCTGTTTCCTTCGTAAACATAAGAACTTTCTGAGACCACTCTGTGTTGGTGTAGCATGCCAGCTGATAGAAGGCACCTGTCCTTTCTGAATAAAGCCAAAGGATCGAGGGCAGAGACAGATCCCAGCTGTGCATCTCATGAAGCTCATGTGATCTGGGGGAATGAGGTGGGGAGGAGGTTCTTTAAAAAAATTATACCAAATTATTAATATAAAACTAAATATGACTTCAGAAGGGAACCATGCAAATAAGGGGCCCTAAACCTTCATAGTCAATCCACTTCTGATATAGAGATAAATGGAGAAATGTTGCTGGTCCTTAAGGACTAGGAAATTGATTAAGAACCAACATCTTACCAAAACAAAGCCATTTGAGAAAGGCCACGTTTGGTTAATGTGCGTAAGTCATATATCAACAATATATTGATCAGAGCCATAATCTAACCACTGGTATAAAAAAAGAGTACCTGATGAAAAATTCTTTTTACAACTTAAAGAAAAAGGCAAGAATTAAATCACTTCTTTCTTATCTTTCGGGTTTTCTTAACCATTGTTCACATTTAACATTTATAAAGACTTAAAAATCAGTTCTGAAATAAGTTTTGGAAAAATGCCTATAAATGAACACGAATTAATTCCACCGTGGATTCCCCTAATCATCACCCACCTACCAGCAACAAAAAGGAAAAACTTAAGAACAAATCTCAAATTAATTTCTTTCAGTGTAGTGAGTACCAAGTAGATGCATCTTCTATAGGGTGAAAATCTACAATTTAAAAAAAAAAAAAATGGGAAGAACATAAAGTAAAAAGAGAGAATAAAACAAAAGAAAAACTATTTTCTATAAGAGATGGGCTACAATTTTTCTTTGGAATAACAATGCAAGTAAATCTGGAAATGCAATATAGTGATATTTGGTGTTGGTAGAAATGATTCTTATCCATTTTACTAAAGAAATTGCCTTTGAATAACAGACAACTTAAGTCAACTAAAATGAGTTAGTAATTATGAATGAAAATAACTCAAATTGCTAACTACTCACCCTCCTGCAGCAGCAGCATGAAGGCACGTTCTTCCAAACTTATCTGGGGTGTCTATTTCAAAGCCTGCAGACAGCACGTGCTCATTACTAAACAAGGATACTATGCTATACTTTTGTCCTAGTTAAACCACAAGAAACATTGCAGAGACAGAAAAATCAGTTAGTAGAAAAACCAGAATGCAAGCAATTGTAGTCAGAAAGAGGTTGTCATGGAAACGAATGGTAACTGCTCAAGCTTGGCAATTTTACAGGAAGAACCGTGAAGTCAAGAAGGATTTATTCTCATTCAGCTCTGGGTGAACCACAGCCCCACATTTCAATCCCAGGAAAGAAATTTATGAAGCCAATTTGAGATAAGTAGGGCAATAGATAGGCAGACAGAACACACGGAGAAAACATGGGAGGTAAAGAAGTAATCTTAACATGCTGGAACAGATATTTTCTTAATGTATTATCAGCTTTCAGTTGGCTTAAGATCTGGGAAACGTGCTTTCATGCAGAGATCATTTTTAAACGTGCCAAAAGCAGTGAAAGCAGAATCAACCACAGGTAAAGTACTTAAAGGGGGAAAAATGCCTCTGGAATATCGGTTGAATTAATTCATAAACAATCTTTGCTTTGCAGCTATCACCCTTGAAAGCCAGGAACTTCTTAATACATGGAAGTTGGTGGAAGCAGTGATAAGAAAGATTAGCAAAGCTCCAAACCAGGAGAAATTTCTTGGTTTCAAACAGGCTCACATTAAAAATATAAAAATTAAATCTAATTGGAGGGAATCAACCATAGTGATTTTTCAGAGCCCACGGAGTAGAAAGGTAACATGACATTTTCTACTGTCAAAATGTGGGGATTTGGCCTCTTTCCTTTGTTAAAAAATATTAAATGCTAAGCCACCATTTTAAGCTTCCAAGATGTTTTCTCCATTATGACAAACAAATTTTCTGTAAGCTATGGCCATCCCTGCCTGTCTCTCACTCTGGATCACCCAAGCTTTAACTTGATAAACAGACAAGACTCTCATTCAGAGGCAGGAATACGGACATTCCAACAGCGACAACACCAAGGACTGTTGGGAGCTGTCCCCAGAGCAGGTAATGAATGACATGAATCACAGGCAGCCACTCACTGACCAGACACCTGAAGCCACGTGGCTCACTCACAGGACACATTAAGCCTCGTGGGTGGTAATGGAGTTACTTACCTGACGATAACAGCTTTCTGCAGCAGTCAGAGTGAGCATTTAGGGCTGCTAAATGTAAAGGGAACATGCTATGGATTCCACACCTGAGGAGGAAAAAAACAGAGCAGCTCACGGTAACAGATCTCAAGCTACATGCAGAAGGACAATTACCATTCTAAAAGTTCTCTGATGAAAATTAAATCCACAATGCCTCGTTAAGGGATTCTTGGCTTAAATAACTGTAATTCTTCCACTGGAGAAATAATTATGCAATCATTTTCTACCTTAAAATCATAAAGTCATGGACCTAAATCAGAAGTAAAAGACCATAACAATAGGGATGGACATTTTAAAGAAAGTGTTTCACATAAACATTACTTGACTCTTTACATTTAAAATTAATTTCCTTTTATTTTTTCTTTCAGGTTAGAAATTTAATATCTCATTAATTAATTAATCCATGTATTCAACACTTTCTAAGTATGAGATACTATACTAAGTGCTAAAGATAAGACAAATTCTCTCTCGACCCACTGAATTCCTTGAATTAATACATAAATATTTATTATTCACCTATTATGTGCCAAGCACTTTGGTGAAAGTTAATAATGGGTGTGTTATTAAAAATAAAAGTTTAGATGAGAATAAAAACTGTTTACCTTTTGCAGGTAAAACTTCATCTTCCTAATAGACTTTCATATGGCACATCGACCCACATCAGGATGCCAGCCACAAAAACGCAGCTGGGAGTAATAAACACTATCTTGCATCTCTTTCATAAATCTAGCATATTTTCCCTAACAGTGGTATAGAAAGAATCTAGAAAAGCACAGATCCCCCACCATAACAGTGCCCAGGATGCTCCCTTAAGGGCCAGGCAGCCTTCTGAGGGCAGCGCCTTGTGCCTTCAGAATCAATCCTCCTCTCGCCCACCATCTCTCCTCGAACAAGGACCCAAAGCCGTGTGCCGAATTGTAGATTCCTGTGTACTTATAAGCATTTATAATGTTAGTGATCATTTCTCATAACATCTCATTATATTCAAATAATAGATCTCAGATTTTGTAAATCCTCTGCATAACACAAGCAAGTGCGTCTATTTTCACCTGCAGGATAAATTACCTAAGCTTCTTCTCTGTACAAAGTGGCCCACTTTATTATTCTACACTTCATAAAAAACACATACGATTTGAATTTGTTAAGTTTTGGATACACGACCATTATTTGCTATCTCAAAAATTATTATGATGTGTGTGAATGTGTCCACCATACACATTCACAGATATTTCAAGGTATTCAGTGTTCTGCAAAATCTGAGGCTGCCAGCAACTAACCACCTCTCTCTTTCCATGAAAACGTCTTTCTTTTATTAGTGTTTTTGTTCAGTCTTCCCTCTGTTCCTTTTCTTTTCCCTATATGGAGATTTCCAGCCCAGTGTATATAATAGCTGGCATCCATCAAGAGATGCAATTTGCCAGTCTTCCGGGCAGTGTCATGCGCAGAACTGCTTGTAATTGCCTCTCTCATCATTTACCAAAAAAAATTCTGAAAAGCAATTGCATCAGTGACAACCTTAATGCTCCTGAAAAGGAAGAATGTTTTGGAGGATGGGGGAGAAGCTTCTCTGTTTGAGCTGCTATTTATATTGCTCCCTCTTGATGCCAGTAAAACAGAGCAATTTCTTTTAATGTATAGCATGTTTTAAATGCTTCTTACTAAATGGAGCTTTAAGCTAATGAGATTTTAGCTAACAACTTTATTTATTTTGGGCAGTTGAAGCAAAAACATATGATTAAATATCTCTGGACATTTGCAAGAGGAAAATGGATAGAATATTTTCTAGGATTGTTTCAAGTTCCTGAAAAAATATGCCTGAAATCAAGGGAAGGATTGCTCGAGGTTTCCTCGAGCCTTCCTCATTCCTTATATATATGAAATGTTAAAATATAAGCATATTAAAATTGTATGTTATATATTATATACATAATATATATACATACACATGTGTATATATATGCACAATATATAACATATATCATCTATAACAAGATATAAAGATACATAAAAATATATTTATATAAAATAATACAAGCAAATGAATTAGTGAAAATAGCATCAAACTCTATAAGAAACCAATCAGGAAAACATAAAAAGTACAAGTGATAATATGAGAGCAATAGTATTATAACACAGTCTATAATCGTCATTATCAATACTTCTAATCAACTGTATCACTTAATCATTGTCTTTAGATAATTCATCATGATTTTATTTTTTCTGTTTCTTATAAACCTGAGAAGATAAGGGAGGGAGAACTACTCTAAAAGGTCTAGCAAAAATTCTGTTTGGTATATATATTTTTCATTCTACAGTTAACAAAAAGTCACTACCTCAGTGTAGGTTTTGAAAACATATTAATTTAGACTCAAGTTCCATTGGAATTTGAACTTGAATATGCTTCTATGGTTCAAATATGAAAACTAAATATTAGGCCAAGATTGGAGAGAACGTAAAAGTAGAATTCAGAATTTCTGAATCACTTCAGAAATGATTCGTGCATCTCAAAATAAAATTACTCCTTTATTATTATAAAATAAGACTGCTTATAAAGGAAGGATAGTAAAACCTTTAGCAAGAAAACTAGGGTTTAACTGTCTTATAAGTCAAATAAGAAAGATCACTCTTACATCATCAGGTATACATCTAGGAAGATCAAGAACTAAAGATGTCAGATAACACTAAACTTAACAATGCATAAATTACAGGAAAGAGGAGACCAATTCCAATAAACCGCTACATTTATCTGACCAGTCATAAAATTAATGGAACATATTTATATAAGCTATTTCAAACTTAGCTGTTAGCTGGTGTCTCCTATCCAGTTATTTCAGGATAAATGAGGTCAGAATAATTTGTAGACAGCTATCAGGGGTGAGAAAAGGACTTCTGCACCATTAGAATATCAGCTCTTCTAAGCATTTGCCTTGGTATCAGAGAGACATGACTGTTCCTTCCCACATCTAGTCTTTTCTAGAACTTTCTCTTAAGCTGAACACTGTGGTTAAGGCAACAGGGTCAGAAACTTTAGTTTGAGTTTAGTTTTGCTACTTGCTACCTATTTGATCTACATAATAGTTCCCTTATCCAGAAAATAAAGATAACAACAATGTTGACTTTATCAAGCAACTGTAAGGATTAATTGAGATAATGTACACAAGGTGCTAAGTAGAGGGCCTGACCCTTGGTAAGGGGTTATCATACATGTTAGTATTATTATTGTCCTTGCAATTATTATTAGCTTAGTTGGATAATCAGCAGTCTTCGAGTTTTGAAGTTGTAATCAGGTTGTACTTCCTTAAAATCAGGTGTGTGGTTCCTTAAAAGCTTCTTTTAAGGAATTGTGATGAGCTAGCATTTCTGCTGTCTTTCTACGTTTCAAATCCTTTACTATACCCATCTCATGACTCTCCCTGGGTAGATGGCATTGGTGTAGTTCTCCCTATTGAGCGAATGAGACAAAAACATTTGATGATTTTTGATCATCAAATTATTTTATGGTTCTTATTCTACTGATCAACCCAAATCAAAAAATCAATTTCTTATTAATTTTATTTATGTCATTTAAGTATTTATCCACGCACCCCTAAAGTTATAGTATTTGGGTATAAGTGACAACAATGAAGCCTGGTCCTTGCTGTCAGCAACCTACAGGCATTTTCAGTTGTTTCTTTTGAATCAAGTGCAAACACTAATGTGGTTTACAAGGCCCCTCCTGGATCTGGCTGTTGCTTAACCTACATGAATTCTGGAATCTCAGTGAACTTCTGTCCATTCTTCCTGGAGGCTCTGACCTGCCCCAGGCTTTTGCACATGCAGGTCCCTCTACCTGAAACTCTCTTACCTTTCCCCTCTGCTTCTCATAGCCTTTCTCAGACTCAGTGCATCTCTGAGGGTCGTTGAAAATATCCTTGGGCTTTCAAGAGCTCTCTACGAAAATTTTTAAACTGTCTTTTCCTTTTGATGATAAGTTAAAGCAATTAGCACAAAAGCATAGCCTGTTTCATCTGAACCGCCACCTTATCACTACATCCCTCTGCAAATCCAGCGCCTGGGCTTGTATTTAGGATCCCATTGCTGCAGTGGAGTACTACTTTAAGTGGCAGGGGGCAATCAGAAAAAAAATAAAGGTGGACTTAATAGATAAATGATGTCTGAACCTACGGCAGGCCAATGAAAATGCATACAGTGGGCCTTCTGAATGCACAAAATTAGGCAATAGTTTGTGCTGTGTGACAAGTCCACTGTCCCACCACTTTGTTTAAGCCACTGCAAAACCTCCACTCCTGTAGCATGTACTAAACTCTAAGGAGTCAGCACCATAGCCTCCAGGACCAGAATACATACAAATGGTACTGTAATTTTGGTAAAACATGGACTATCACATCATTCATTCCTGGAGAGATAGCAAGCCTCGTGAGCTCCGAATCCAGAAAGCCAGGATGGAGGCACATTTCCACCCTTCACTAGCTCTTGACCTTGGGCAGGTAACTGAACCTCTCTGTGCCTCATCTACTTCACCTGTAAGATGGTAATAGTCCTAGCACTTAGTCCACAGTGTTACTGTGACAGATGTCACCCTTCAGAGTGGCGCCTATCATGGGGAAGCACCTATGAATATTGCTACTATTGATCAATAGCCTGTGCAGTTCAAGTGAATGTTTTTTGTATGTGTTTTGTAATTTATTTGGATTTATTGATATATTAGAGTCAAAAGCCTAAGGAGTTTCTATCTAGTCTTAGGTTTATACAGATTCAAGTAACATTAAATAAAAATAATTTAAGTCCCTGGCTCTGCTGTGTCCCAGATACATTCCCCTGAATATCCCAGTGGCACCTGGCAATTGTTCTGGCATTACACTTAGCACACATGATTATAACTGCTTTTTTAATTCTTGCCTCTAAGAGGTCAGGGACCTCTGTAACCCCAGGACCTCACATAGTGGGAGACACTTAACAAGCCTTCAACAACCATTTAGTGAATAAATGAATGTCAGAACAGTTAACTGCATTACTACAATATCCCTAATTCTACCACAGTTAAGACAGAAAAAGAAGTGAGAGCATAATTTTTCAGGTAGAAAAGAAATTAAAACCCTAGAGATAAGTGCCCCAAACTTGAAAAAGTTAAAGAAAAACCAAAGGGCTCTGACTCCACGTAAAGTTACATGAGTGCTGAATCAAGCTGCAGAAAGTGCTCTGACTTAAGAGTTCAGAGAAGCAAAGGAGAACAACAAAGGTCATTCGATCAAGGCCTGAGAATAAAATTCAAATAAACTCATAAGAAAGTAATGACCATAAAACTTGTTGTATAGAGATCTTTTTTTTTAATCTTCACCCAAGGATATTTTTTCATTGCTTTTCAGAGAGAGTGGAAGGGAGAGAGAGAGAGGGAGAGAGAGAGAGAGAAAGAGAAAGAGAAACATCAATGTGAGAGAGACACATGGACTGGTTGCCTCCCACACATGCCTTGACCAGGGCCGGGGATCAAGCTTACAACCGAGGTACATGCCCTTGGCTGGAATTGAACCCGGGACCCTTTAGTCCATGGGCCCATGCTCTGACCACTGAGTCAAACCAGCTAGGGCCATATAGAGATCTTTTAAAATATACTTGGCCATACTGTTTATGAATGAAAATGGGTTATGCCCTGGCCTGTGTGGCTCAGTTGGTTGGAATGTCGTCCCATGCACCAAAAAGTGGCAGGTTTGATTCCCAGTCAGGGCACACACCTAGGCTGCAGGTTCGATCCCTGGTTGGGGTGCATATGGGAAACAACCGATTGATGTTTTTTCTTTCCCTCTCTCCCTCTCCCCTCCTCTCTGTCCAAAATAAAAATAAAAATAAAAATAATAAAACAGCATATCCTCAGCTGAGGATTAAAAACTAATATATAAATTAAATAAATAAATAAATGGGTTATTTCATAAATGTTATGTGTTTGTTTACTTATGTACAGAAGGAAAGACCTACTTTTCTCCCCGTTAATCAGCTAGCCTACATAGATCTACAAGGAGTCCAGAGAACAGTGATTTTCTGGGGAGGCCTTTAGCAAAGTTAATCTTCTTCAACTCTCCTCCCCCTCCATTTGATATTTTCCCCTTAGGTCCTTCAAGATGTGGCTCTTCCTGCTTATCCCCTTCATTTCTCCCTCCCCCCCTCCCCCCAGCAGATAATCCAGCCTTAGGAACCTGCTTTCAACCCTTCACACGCTTATGCCTTTGTAACTACTGTTCCCTCTTTCTGGAAGATCCTTCCTTGCTCCCCCCTCTATCTTTCTGTCCACCTGGCAAACTGCTATCCATCCTTCCTTTTGCTGAATTGTCCCCTCTTTTGCAGAATCCAGAGTCAATGTTCCTAGTGACTCTGTCATAACAAACCTCATAAACCACGGTCATTTGCTCTTGATCTTTTCTCTACCACTCGACTAGAGCCCAGAAGGCCACCGAAACCCACCACACCTGCCTGGGCCATTTACATTTTGGCTCATTCTCAAGCAAGACTTTCAATTCTGTTGCACCAAAGTGTCAAATAAAATAAAATTCCTCATATGAACAATGCCCTCATACTGTTCTTCACCTGAAAATTTAGCTACTGTTACCCACAGTCTCTGAGATCAAGGCTAAACTCTTTATTCAGGCATCTAAGGCCCTCTTTAATTTGGTTCCACTACACATTACTAAGTAATAAAATAACAGTTAACATTTACTGATAGCTTATTTTGTGCTAGGCAATGTTCAAAGAGCTTTTAACAGGGATTATCTTGTTTCATAACCTTAGCAAATGTATTTATATAATTCATACAGAACTTAACCTATTCCAGAGAGCTGTACTAGTAATTGAGCCTCCTGTAATCCTCATAACAAACCAATGGGTAAGTACTATTATTACTCCCATTTTTCAAACAAGGAAACCAAAGCACATAGAGATTGAGCAATGGGCTCAAGGGCACACAGCTCACAAGCAAAATAGCTTGGGCTGGAGCCTGGGTAGTGCCCGTGAAAGCCTAGGCCCCCAACCCGGGACATGATACCACCTCTAGGCAGAGCATGGCATCATCACACACACTCTGTCAGGCCCAAACTCTTCCCAGAATTGTACTCTTTTCATCTTTTGTTCCTACTTCCCACTCTGCTTAGGGTGTCTGCCACCCTCTGCTTACCTAAACCTCACCTTCCCCAGAGGCTTTTCTGAAAACTTTGGCCACACTGGAGCTCTCTCCTTCCTGTCCACACTCTATGGCATATTGTCCACACCAAACATCTTGCCACTTAAGTCCTGTTTCATTTAGAACTTTATTATATACCATCTGGCATGGTTCTTTGTCTTAGGTAGGCCTTGGTTCTCCAACACAATTATGGCCTCCTTGAAGGTAGCAACCACGTAACTTACTTCTGAAACTTCCAATAGCACCCAGCATTGTGAGAGACTGGTACCGATGCTTTATATATTCATGTTGAACTGAAGTGTAAAATAAAGTCAGGTCCCCTTCCCTACATAGCATATTTACTCAATTGTACCCTATAATTATATAATTAAAATTAAGCAAGCATCCTGAATAAATTCTAAATTTGCCCACTTATGACTTATTTTTCCTGCTTAACTGACATTGAACATGGGAAAGAACAGAAGATTACAAAGCAGAGTGAGGAATAAAGTTCAAGTCTCCTTCATTAGAACCACTAGAATAGGCCTCTTACTGATGTGGCTAAAAAATATATTTGATTCCTCCTTATATCTGTCATTAAAAGTCACTTAATTTAGTTTCATATTTAATTTGGCTTTAGCATAATGGTACCGATCCACCTTAACCTGGATAAATGGGACTATCTGCTGCATGTCAGAATCCCTTTGGCAGTGTTTCCACACGTGGCAATTATTCCCCCGTAGTTCTGCAGTGACCTACTTGGCTGTGTCAGCTCCGCTGGTTATCAGGGTGTTAATCAGAAGCTCATGACCGTATCTTGCAGCCACATGGAGAGGAGTGTTGCCATCTTTATCCACACAGTCGATTTCACCTCCTGGAAAAGGTTTTTTAATACAGGATAATATAAGGATTCAGGTTGATCAGATAGTGCATTTTATGCTAGTCACTCATGTTGATCACATGCTGATTTCTTTTCGACTCTCTACTCCGAAGTATAAGAATGCTTCTCCTTCTGAAGTACGAGTATTATTAAATCTGCATAGAAAGAAGTCTATCAGACATGCTTTTGAAAAAATCTTTCCATATTGTATTCAAGGACCTAAAACCTCACAATTAGATTCTTGCTCTGAAGGAACAATGCAATCAAATTCCATTAAATGTAATTCTGAAGACATATTCATTTTTAATTTTACCTGCTGAACTAAAGACCTATGTAAAACTTATACCAAAGCATAAAAACCAAGGGAAATAGAGTTCAGGAAAATATTTTATGTAGTTTGATTATCTAATTTAAAATATGATGAGTAAAATGAGTAAAAGCATAAACTATGAACTGAAATATATTTATAAAGACTATCACATTAACCATCTACAGCCCATAATAATATAGTATTTTCTTCGTATTTTCAGTTTTTGCCTTTTCCCCCAACTTTTTATTTTCCTACATTTCTTTCTCTCCTCTTTTTATATATATGTAAATATAATTAGACATATGACATTTCAACCCTAAAACAAGGACACTCTCCTACATAACCATAATTCCATCATTATACCCAAGAAATGTAACATTGATACAATAATTTTATGTTATATGCAATGCATATTCCAATTTCTCAAATTGTCCCAAAAATGTGCTTAAAAGCAACCTTTTAAAAAATATATCCAGGATCCAATAAAAAATTCTGATAGCATTTGGTTGTCATCTCTTTAGTTTCCTTTAATCTAAAGCAATCTTTTGGCCTTTTATTTATTTTTTAGTTTCTCATGTCACTGATACTTTTGGAGGCCAAGACAGGAGTCCTGTAGAATGTTACATTCTGGAATTGCCTGATTATTTCCTTATTACTAGATTCAGGCTAAACATTTTGGCAAGAATACCCCGGAGATGATGCACGCTTCCCCCTCCATCTCCTCAGCAGACACATCAGGTCAAGTTACTCCATTACTGGGTGATGCACATTTCAGTTGCTTGTGATGGTTACAGAGTTTTAGTTTGCGACAATGAAAAAGTTCTCCATATGGATGATTACACAACAATGTGAATGTACTTAGTGCACATTTCAAAAGTCAAAATTTGATTTTTAAAAAGCCTCACTGTCATTTCTATCCCTTCCATGTCATCCTCAACCACATCCTGTAGTAATCATCTTCACTAGTTTTGGTTTATGCTTCCCGCATTTCTCTGCAAAAGTAAGCACACACTCTTTCACACCTTCTCTTTTTCTTTTCACTTAACAACGTATCCTGGAAGTTGCTTTTACAGGTCACTTCTTGGAGATCTTCCTCATCTTTGTACAGCTTTAGTTTCCATTGCATGGATTCGTACCAGTTCACTGCACCAGTCACGTATGGATGAGCACTTAGGTTGTAAATATTATTTTTGCTGTTATCAAGAATGCTACAGTCAACAACCTCATGCATATATTGTTTCATATTTATTGGGTATCTCTTCCCAAGTAAATTCCTAGGAAGGGGATTTCTAGGTCAAAGGGTAAATGAATATGTGGTTTTGTTAGATTTGCTAAATTTCCCTCTTTACGCCCTGTGCAATTTTGCAATTATAGCAGCAATGTATGTGTGCCTTTACCCCACAGCCTTGTCAAGCTTATGAGTATCTGCAATGTGATGGGTGAGAACTGGCATCTTAGTGTAGTTTTCACTTGAATTTCTCTTATCAAGAAAGTTGAGCATCTTTTCACATATGGAAGAACCATTTGTTTATCTTTCTCTCTGAACTATTTGTTATTGACTTTTGCCCATATTTCTAAATGTGTGTGTGTGTGTGTGTGTGTGTGTGTGTGTGTAAGGGGGTTCTTTTATCCCTTGATTTTCAAGGGCTCTTAAAACATCTGGGAGATTACCCATTTATCAGTAATACATGTTGCAAATATTTTCCCTCTGGATTTTCATTTGTCTTTGGTGTTTTACTCTAAAAAAATTATTTTTGTAATGTATCAGTCTTTTATTGTACTTAGATTTTAAGTTGTAGTTAGAAAGGCTTTACCCACACCCTGGCAATAAAGAAACTGACATGTGAAAATATCTGCAACATGTATTACTGATAAGTGAATAACCGGGTAATCTCCCAAAGATTTTAAAAGCCCTTGAAAATCAATAAATAAGGAGGAATCAAGGAGAGGGAGGAATGGGGAGTGACTGCTAATGGCTATGAGGTTTCTTTTGGGGGTGATGAAATGATCTGGAATTAGATAGTGGTGATGGTGGCAAAACTGTGTGAAAATACTAAAATCCACTGAATTGTATACTTTAAAATAGACTAGAATCATTTCTATAAAAGTAAAAGTAATGATTACATATCTTTATATATACATTCTTAAATACATAGAAAAATCTGGAGTTTCACCAAATTGTCAATAGAAATTCTTGGGATGGAGTTGGGGAAACACATCGGTGAATATCATGGGCAATCTCTTTAATGATTTAATTTTATTTGACAGTGAGCATATACTAATTTTATAATCAGGAAAAATAATTTAAAAAAATTAGTTATGATCTTCCAGGGACTCAACAGATTGTTTACTTATCCGAATTTAGAAGCATCCAACTTAGATCAATCATTTTTATGATGTGATGTAACCTTGGGGACAGGCAGCCACCGTGTCTCCATGGATACCTCAGAGCAATCCTGGTACACGCACCTAAGAACTGCCTACAGTGGTCGGCCTGAAAGGTCTACTCACGGAGCTGAGCCGGGGAGATGTGGGAGGCAGCCCCCCAGACTTCAGAGAAACCTTTACCCTGAAAACACACTAAATCACTCCTGGTCCTTCCCAGCCAAAAGCCAGCAAACCTTTCTTAACAAATGTTAGGACTGCCATATTTATCAGCCTCAAACATGCCAAAAATTGGGTAGAGGAAAAGAAGAGTGAAAAAAAAATTGAAAAGGATGGAAAAGAGAGGCTGAATTGATAAAGTTTCTTCTTGCTATTGTACTATCATTTAATAAGTCAATTTAAAACTGCAAAAAATATATAGATAACTTCCACATATACTTTTATTGTCATTTAAAATACATTTCAAAAAATAAAATAAAGCCAGGCCAGCGTGACTCAATGGTTGAGAGTCGACCTATGAACCAGGAGGTCAGGGTTCGATTCCTGGTCAGGGCACATGCCCGGGTTGCGGGCTTACGCAACGGGCAGCCAATCTGATGTTTCTATGTCTCTCTCCCTTTCTTTTCCTCTCTCCAAAATAAGAAAAAATGTATTTAAAATTTTTTAAAAATTTAAAAATAATAAAATACATTTCAAGAAAACATAACAGTGGAAAAGTAAAAGACAGAATGGGTGTTTGTTATTCATAAATGTTTTATATTAAAATAGAACCTCTAGATGAATGAATTTTCATTTTACATTTACCCAAACCTTTCCATTTTTACCTGAAAACCTTTAAGGTTTTTTGGAATGCAAATTAAGTACCTTCACTATTCATTTAAAGGTTGCAAGTCAAATATTGGTAATCTGTCACTGACAATAGTGAGGAAAATACGTATCTGTGAATTCAGACGTGTGCAGAGCATGTCAGAGGGAGCGTTTATGCAGCACGGCCTAAGCCTTCATCTGAAGTTAGTTTTTCACTGCATAAGCAAGACTGGTCATCTCACTAAGCTGCCTCAGAAGAACTGTAAGCCAAAAGGTCAAAAATCTCACAATAAATCATCATAACCTATCACTTGACTCTTCTTCTTCAAACTCTATTTATTTATAAAGCTTCTGGAAGAAAACATCATTTTTGAACTTTTGTAACCTACTGAACAGCATCCCAGCAGCTGCCTGGTGCAAATGTCTGGATCAAATGCCTCCTGTTACCACGTTGTGTTTCTGCTCAGTTCCTTCCCGCTCTGGCTGTGACAACACAGCTTCAGATAAGGGTGTGACTGAACAGCAAAGGCAGTCCTGCTAACTAAAAAAATTAAAGAGGTTTGTGTGTGTGTGTGTGTGTGTGTTTAATGTTTGTCTTACCAAAGCTGAATAATTCTGGAAAAACAAAATTATTATGAAGAACTAATAGCCCTGACTAGAGAGCAGAGGGGCAGAAAAATGCCACACAAAGTCCAAACACCAGAGTGATTTAACAAAACAAATAAACAAACACAGAGAATGTTCCTCAGCAGCATGTTCACTGGTTTGGGGAGCCCGCCCCTGGCCCCACATGGGACTGGCATTCCGGGTCCTGTTGCGCAGTGACCCACTCTGGAGGGTGGACACCGGGCCCTGTGGTGTGAGCCCCTGTATTTTTCCCAGAAGGAAGCCAACAAACAGGAGGGAAGGAAAGAGCTTCCTATTCTCCCTAAGGGAGTTTTTTAAAATGTCAAATGGAAGAACTCCCAGTTCTCACGTGTGTAATGAATGCAAAGAATTCTCAGCTGAGAAGAGAATTCAAGATCATCCTTTCAAAGGGACAACTCTATTCCAAATATAAGTGACTCCTGGAGTAAATACAATTCAAGTTAAAAAAAATTTTTTAGTATGCTATTGTTTATCCAGAAAACACATTAGTAGTTAAAAATCCAGTCTCTGATGTTAGACTGCCTCAGTTCCAATCTCTGTGCCTTAACATACCTCCCACATATCCCAACAAAAGTCACACACTTTCTGCCTCAATTTCCCCATCTCTGAAATGTAAATATAACAATACTTCTTTCTTATGAGGTGGTTGAAAGGATTTATGTGCAATGCTTAGCCAAGGGCCTGGCAGAGTGTGAACACTCAACCAATGTTAGCTTTGTAATTATATAGAACGGGCTATATATTAGAGCCACTATATCCCCATCATTTGAGAGCCCTGGACCCCATCCAACCAATAAGCAAGATGCCAGGCCAGCCAAGAATGAGATAGGCTCTGAAACAAAGCTCCATGATCACAGAGGACAAGAGACGGGGTCACTTTCAGGTCTCGTGTCAACTCAAAAGTCTAGCAAGAATGTCCAGAGAGGACATGGAAGTCTTCAGGTCCACAGGGATGGCTTCTGGAGAGGTTAAAGCAGCCAGCAACCCCCTTCCCTTGCTGGAGTGACTGCTATAAGCACACTAGCATAACATGATTCAAAGGAGATGGCCTGTGTCCTCTAGCCCACAGGATGGACCTGAGGAAGGGAGTGCTTACAAGGTGAAAAATTGATCTCTCTCTGGTCTGGTCACTGGAGCTTGAAATTGCTTTAACAGGGAACAAAGCTTTTTATGCCAGAGGTAAGGCCCACTGATTAAATTCACATTAAATTAAAAAAAATATATACCAAATTTCTTCCTAGTTTTGTTTATTTTAAAGGCAGGGGACATTGTTTCTGAAAAACAGAGAAACTGAGAAATACAGTAGGGTAAGGACATTGACCAAAAGAGAGACACTAGGTTCCTTGCCACCTCCCCTTGATCACACCCAATAAAATGAAACAATTAAAGTGGTCCTTTCAATAAAGTGAACGTCAAAGGCACACCACATTTTCTAATTAGAAAGAATGAGTGTTGTGCAGTTAATTTTCATTTTACCTTCCTTGACTCACCAGGAACTGATTAGGATTCCCCCCCCCTTCCAGTTTCACTGAAATGCTTATAAATTCCATTTGCTTTGCTGCAGATATTCTGCTTTCTAAGCATAATTTCACTGGCTGGTCTTCCATCCAAATGTCAAATGACTGGTTTTATGACCTGAGTGCCTACAATATAACTTAGTGTCACTAATAATTCAAGTGCATGTCATCTAAAGTTCTTACAGATGAGAGAAAAATAGGTCCAAGGAAACTGACTGATGCCAGAATTTTGTGAAGGAGAAATGTGGGTCAACTAAAGATAGTTTAGGAACTGCTGGAATCACCTGGAACGTCAGCATAAAATCTGGGCGAAACCTGTTGGTTGTTTTTTTTTTTCAATTGTCTCTAACATTTGCTAAAATAACAGACTTGTAATGTCAAGGTGAATCTACTCACAGGTGCCAGCCACCACCCACGATGTGAAGCGACATTCCCCAGTACTCTGGCTGCAGGGACAGCTCACTGGTTCAAGTACACTGTTGTTGTGAGCCTGGAAAATTACTAGATCATGTGACTGTCCAAGTTCTCTATCAAGCATCTGATTGTTATGATTCTTTATATCACGTTCTTACCTGCCTTTCTTCTGAATCACCTAATTTTTTCCTACCTTTGCCCAAGTAGCCCAATGAGTTTTAACTTAGGGAACGATGGTGAATTCTAAACTTTTTAAATAATTCCGATTTCCTGCTAGGAAATGTACAATACTTATTTTTATTCGCTTCCGAGCGAAAAGCGCAGGACCTTGAGCCTGAGCATGCATATCATTTCTAGTTTCAAAACTCACACGTTCTTTGACAGGCTGGGAATGGACTGAGAAACTTGGTTGCTGTATATCGTCACTCCTAAGCAGGATGGTGATGTGATGTCTGAGCAAGAGCTTTTAGCAAAGTACATCAAAGGAAACTGTAAATCCGAACTTAATAAAATCTAAAACAGAGCCTCATCTTTCACGTTCAGATGACAGGCAGCCAAATTCATCAGACCAGAAAACTGCCCAAATAGTGACACTGTGGAAGAATCTCTTACCATTCTGAATGAGGGTCTGTGACCGTGTGAACCTCCCATGGACAGCTGTCATGTGCAGGGGACTTTTGCCATCTTTACTCTAAAAAGGAAGGGAGAGAGAAACAATGCACCAGGCACACCATGTCTGAAACATCCCTGTGGATACTGCTCGCAATGTCCTGAAAACATCAATTAAAATTTTTTTTAATATGATAAAAAATTCACAAGACGTAAAAGATGATTTAGAAATCAAAAGATAAAGTATATATTATATCTCAAGTTACTGCATAACATCACATTGTGAAGAAGCCTAGAGAAGTGAATATTTTAGAGAAGAAATGCAATGTTTCTAGTTATACTAACAATTTTTAAACCACCTTGTTTCAAACTGAAGAAATCATCCCAAACTTTTTTTCATCTCCGGTAACCTACTGATGAAGAAAGTTTCCTCCAAGGAATTTTTTTCAACTTTTGTCCATAGTACATGAAAAAAGACAATGTGTTAACTTGCTTGGCCCTGTTTGACCTGATGGTGACCAAACTGCTGTAAGTCACTGCAGCTCTCAAAGCTGACCTAGAATCCTCCACCATTCCCACTCTAACTCCAGAGGAAAACAGCACTTCCGATTGTTGCAAAAGAGAAACGCTGCTTCACTGAACTCATTAGAAATCACAGCATTAAGGCATTCAGCTGTCTAGCAAACTGCCATTTTAACGATCACCTGGAAATGTGTACTGAATTTATACATCTTTTTATTATTCAAGATATAAGTGATGGAACTTCCTGACACAGATTAAGCCAAAACATAAAAAATGTCTAGAATCTATATACTGATCATCAGTATACCAAATACTGAAGTCCTACACAATTAAGAAACCCGAAACACCAATCAGAAAGAACTTATGCACCCCTAGGTTCATAGCAGGGCAATTCACAATAGCTCAGATCTGGAAACAGCCCAAGAGCCCATCAGTAGATGAGTGGGTAAAAAGCTGTGGGGCATTTACACCATGGAATACTACGCAGCTGTAATAAAGAAGGCTCTCTTACCTTTGGGACAGCATGGAGGGACCTGGAGAGTATTATGCTAAGTGAAATAAGCCAGGCAGAGAAAGACAAGTATCACATGATCTCACTCATATGTGGAATCTAATGAACAAAATAAACTGATGAACAAAGTAGATCCAGAGACATAGAAGCATGGAACAGACTGAGGGGTCTCAGAGGGAAGGTGGGGGTGGGGGAGTGGATGGGGAGAGATTAATCAAAGAGCTCATAAGCATATATGCGTAACCCATGGACACAGGCAAGAGTGTGGAGAAGGCCTGGGGGGAGCNGACACAGACAATAGTGTGGAGAAGGCCTGGGGGGACAGGGGTGGATGCCGGCTGGCTGGGTGGAGGGGATAAATGGGGGGGAAGGGGGGACATCTGTAATACTTTCAACAATAAAGATAAACTTTAAAAGAAGAAATAGTCTTTTACAGAATTTCTTCTTAAAATAGTAATACCCCCAAAAATATGACTGTCATTTCAGACCAAAGGTATCCTCAATAGAATGTATTCTTTCATTCGAGTATTGTAAGAAAAAAAGTATGTAATTGTTATTTTTCTAAGGCTCAGGAGAAACATTTTTCTTAAGTCTGAGGTTGAAATATGTGGTTTCTAAAGTGCAAGTTCATTTTTGTTATGCAACTCATATACTTGTGCTTTAAAATGGCTCTTTGTTTAAAAAATTCTACAGTGGAAAACAAATAATTACTTAAGCAAGTGTTTCTCAGAGTGAACGAGGGACTTACCTGCACCTAATCACAGGGCTTCTTGTTATAAATGTGAATTCTGTGCCCAAACCCAGGCCCACTGAGTCAGAACTGGGGTAAGGGGAGCCCCATTTGTAACTGGCACAGCACACTGCTTTAGACTGGGGCTGGAATAGCTTATAAAACCACAAAGCTTTGACAGAGAATTTTTATCATATGAGTCTATCCCTGAGAAAGAAGAAAGGCATTGTGCTCAGTCTGTGCCGAAGGAAGAGAGAACCAGAGCGGGAACTGCATCTCAGTGAAAGGTTCTCGGGCAGGCGGCAAACAAGAGCTCATAGGATCTTTTCTCCATCTTATATCATTATAACCTGAATCAGAAAAGGCTGAGAAAGCTGAAAGTAAACTGGGAGGTTTACTGAAATGGTGCTTTTAGGGGAAAAGCAGCAGCAACCAAGATGATGACGGCGGCCGTGGCTGACCATGGGCCCACAGCGGAGGAGGGCCCCTGGAAGCTCTCTGACCCCCGAGCCTGCGTCCTGCCTGTGGGAGTGCTGGCAGTTTAAAGGGCTGAGACTCTGGAACTACTTGGGATAGGACGTAAAACATACGCCCCTCCAATAAAAAAGTGATGACCGTCTAAGACTCAAGGAGAGAGAAAACAGAAATTGCAGAGCTGACATCAACTTGTCCCTAGGTGGTGCTATTTCTTTAACTTTTGCTCCAATATTTTCTCTTAAATTTAGTATGAAAACATAACTAGCGTTTCGTTAAATAGATAAAGCCATAAATATTTCAGTATTTAGACAATATCTTTATAAATATTTAACTTAGCACTTTTCCACGCCTAGAAAATAGCTTAGAGGCTTTTCCAAGGAGTAACCCCCAACCTGGCAGTCACTAACCAAACTGAAGCCAGTGAGCCAAAGCAGAAGTAACCGGCTTCTACAGTGTGTAGTTTACAAAGCCGGTCCCATTTCAGGGAGAGCAAGCACCGCACCCTTCTTCTCTCTTGGAGTGTGTGTGTCTTTGGTAAAGGGACAAATAAACAGGATGACCAAAGTCAGGTAAAATTCAAAGGACAGTGTCATGGTCAGTGGTGATGCTTATTTGAGATTTATCCTTGCAGATGGTTGCCTGGGTGCATCTAACACTTCGTCCAGGCCACTGCTGATTATTTTTTTTCTCATAAATAAATATTGGGGGGGGGGGGCGGAAGCATTACCAGTGTCATGGCAGTCATTTGGGGCAGTTTTGTTCACATGGTATAGATGTAAAAGGAATTCATTATGTCCAAAAGCATTGAACACTAACGAAGGTCAAAAGGACAATACTTTGCATCCAGCCTTACAAGTTAGAACTCAGGATGTTCAGGTTGAAACGAGGGATCCTCATAAGTTTCATATGTGCCTGAGACTTTTTCACACAGGGTGGGGGGGGGACGACTTGCCTTCGCTGCCGCTATTCTGAGAACTTCAAAGATAAACTATTCCCTGCGTTCTCAAAAGAGAGGATGTGTTCAGTTCCTCTGTTTATTCAAAGCTTTGCTTTTATAAATTTTATTCTTAATTTCTAGTCTCCTTCCAATTTCTAGATGCATTTTCTCATCAGATTTAGGACTTGGAAAATTTGTTATTTTGAGGATTTATTTAATTAAGCAAAAAGCTCTTTTACTGATTCATAGTTCAGTCATAAATTGTGAAGAAATAATGGGGATTAAGAATATGTATGACAAATATTAGTACTCTTTCAGGACGGAATTCAACATCATCCAAGGAAGATGAATCCTTGGCCTAATGGAATGTTCCAATTTTCTCAACCATGAGTTTTCTCGGAAATCCCTTCCTTCTTTTCTTCCAGGCCTCATGCCTTCCTTCCGCATCCTCCAACATCTCACAAAACCTTCCCTGCACTTACAGACATTTCCCTCCTCGGGAACCTGGCGGCACTGTGTCCTCTGTGGTATGCTGCCTCCGGGAGTCACTAGCTCAGTGGCCCTACGAAAAGGCAATGGTGCCTCCAGAGTCTAACACTAAGGTCCCCTGGGGGAGAGGGGGGTCCAGATGTAGTCAGAAACTCAAAAGTGCTTTTTTTCCTTTAGTACTCACCCAAGGATACTTTTTCCATTGCTTTTCAGAGAGAGTGGAAGAGAGAAAGAGAGAAAGAGAAACAAATTGAACCAGGACCCTTCAGTCCGCAGTCCNAACAAATGGAACCAGGACCCTTCAGTCCGCAGTCCGACGCTCTAACCACTGAGCACCTNAAGAGAAACAAATTGAACCAGGACCCTTCAGTCCGCAGTCCGACGCTCTAACCACTGAGCACCTGGCTAGGGCTCAAAAGGGATTTCTAATTCAATGGAAGAGCAATATAAAACCCCGGTTTGCAAAAAGGTCATACACAGGCCTTTTTTTTTTTTAATGGTTCTAAAGGCGGGAGATGATACATAGTTGGCTCATTCATTCATTCCTCTCCTTTCCTTCCCACATGCTCTCCAAAGTTCCAAGTGCCATGTCCCTCTCACTGCCTACTCCAGTTTCACCTTCAACCTCTACAAAACAGGCCTAATTCTATGATTTGGTCCTGGTACATATAAAAAGAGGAGCAGGCCCACTTCAGTAGATGTGTGATGGGCTTCACATGCAGCCTCTCTTGGGGCTGAATGATCTAAGGGCCCACAGACAGAAAAGAACTGAGACCACGGGCAGGCTGAATGGTAGTGACCAGGAGATAGGCAACCTGGCATATCTGGCGTGGCTATGTGTTTAGTGCTTTTAACATTTTGAATGCTTCCCAAAGAGAGCCTCGAGAAGCTGCAGAAATTACAATGTGGTCTGTAATGTAGAAGAAATATTATTTTATGCTTTCTCATGCTCTTCCTGTTTGTAAAATAAAGTGAACCTTCAATGGATTATTGTATGAAGTATTATGTCGTCATTATTTGTCACAAATAAACTAATATTACAAGGTCAAAGTCATGGTCAATCTAAGCAAAATGAGAGATTGTAAAATGCACACAGGACACATATCCTTCCTCTTCTTTCAATTATCTTGTCATTGCCCATGAAGACACTGCTTTTAGTGTTTTGTGAGGATAGAGGAAAACAAAGTGAACATGTGGGTGGGTGTTGGCTACATTTCAATATGCAATTTCCCTCAAACTTTAGAATGTCTAAACAAATATAAACTGTCTTGCAATCTACAAACACTTTCAAACTCCACGGAGCAACGTGGTAAAGAGAGATAACAACTTCAATTAGAAAGCTACCTCCAGAGTCAGACAGAATGGCTCTACGGAAATGTTAGATGACCTGTGTATCCAGAGGCCATCTGGAATGGCAAAGGAAGATTCTAGAAAATTAGGAAATCAAGAGGATGTAGGCCAAGTAGATATAGGGAGACTGAGGGAGAAGACTAGAGTTGACTCAAAATACCATTTACATAGATTAAAAAACACATAAACCCAAGTCTCAGATTTTAAAAATGCTATTTCCTATATTCTACTGATGATTAGCAGTCCACAGGAAAAGTTAAATATTAAAACGAAGTAACTGTGCTTTCCAGATCCATTTTACGGGGAAGCGAAGGCTGCCATGAACCGATGCACCACATACAGCTGAAGCCCCTATCCAACCTGAACTGACCCCTGTCAGTTAACTGGGAGAAGCAGGTAGGTTGTCAGAAAACGGCCTTCTAACCTCGGGATCAAGCACCCTGAGAGCATTCGTCGGCAAGTTTTACATAGGTGATAGAAAACCCTGCGAGTTAATGAAATGAAGGTTGGTGAAGAGAGCTACTTTATTTAACTTCAATAACTTTTCTTTCTTTGGAGGCTTTAAGGATGTCCCTCAGACACTAGGATGACAATGTCCACAAGTCTAGGGACATTGAGGATTTGGCCACCTGCCAGCCTCCTGCCTCTCAACACCATCCTCTCTAACTTCAATCCCACAAGATGACTCTCCCACCTTGGACTCCAGTTCCTACTTTTCAATATCACCAAAGATGTTCATCTTAGGACCTTGGAGGGTCTCCACTTACAAGATCTAGAACTCTGAAATTCTCTTCATCTATTCTACTTTTTTGTTATTACCTGCTTTCCACATTCAGGAAGACACTACATTCCCCTCCATTTCCTTCCTTTCTTCTCTAACTCTTCTTTTTTCATTACTGATTTTAGAGAGGGGTTGGGGGAGAGAGAAACATTGATGTGTATTAGTGTATTATACACTATTTATGTATTAGTATTATTTATGTATTAGTTTGCATTTTTTCTAATTTTCTAGTGATACTGAACATTTTTCATAGGTTTAATGGATATTGCATGCTCTCTCTTGTGATCTGCCTTAGCCCATATTTTTGAGTAGGTTATCAAACTTTTTCTTATTGATTTTTATGAGCTCTTATATATTGAGCATATTAATTCTATTCTTATCATATATATTGCAGAAAAACTTACCTGAGTTTTCCCTCTTTCAATTGTATGTTAGGGTTTTTGTTCTGTTTTTTATTTCTTTTGTTGTTTTTTCTTTAATCATATAAAAGTTTGAAATTTTGTGTAGTCTTCTTTTTTCCTTTATATTTTCTGTCTCTGGTGTCTCTATGGCCAGATTACTGTTTCTAATGCTCAGTTCTGATCATACAACCTCTCTAATATTAATGGCCCTCACAGCCTATGTAAGCTCAAAGTCCTTAGCCAGTAAATAAGCCCTCTTCCTTCCTCAGGTCACATTTCAGCTTGTTCTTGGCTCTTTCCTTTCACATGACTTATACTCTATTCAAGCAGTATAAATTGCTATTCTGAAAATTTGTTCCATATTTCCCCACAATTAGAAATTACAAGAAAAATATTGAAAGATTTTAATAGTGAATAGAGAAAATCATGAAAATAGATTGATCCAATATTCTTGAGATTAAATCTTAAAAATAATTTTTCAAAAACAGAGGCAGAATACCCTGGAACCTGGCTTCAGGATTCCTTTGTGCTTGAGAGGAATTCACCTGGTGCAGGATAAGATATTCTGCTATAATCAAAATGCACTCAAGTGATGTAAATCAGGATCATGAGGACTGCATGCATAAGTTCCCCCTGGTTATCTGTTATAAGAAACTGACTAGTTTCCTAAAGTTTATCCAGAGCTTTTCCTATCCAGAACTCCCAACCCCTTTGCTCATGCTGGTCTATCTAGAATACCTACTCTCAAATTCTTTCTACCTCTCCTCATCTCAACTGATTTCAATCTTCCAAGTTTGAAGATTGGAGATCACCTCTCATCTTGGAGGACTCCTTTAGTACCAAACGGGGCAGTAGGTAGCCCTCAGTAAGTTTGCTGAATAAAGGGCTCACCATTAGGACCAGGTCAATGTTAAGTCACTGAAGCCACTATCTGGGGTTGACTATAGGAAGGCATTTGAGAAACACCTTGGAGGGCCATGCCAGGGCTGGGAACAGACCGGAAATCACGCAGCAGCTCTGCCCTATCAGCTCAGCATTCACTTCAGTATCAGAATCTAAACCAAATCAACATCCGTGAGATCCCTTATTTCCTCTGGAACATTCACTGGGCTACCAAGGACACATGGCTAGAAGCTCAGTGCCTTCCAGCCGGACAGTCACTCCTGCAGAAACAATGCCGTTCAGTTTCTATCGCATCCCAGTACAGGAGGGGGCTGTGGGAGTCGAGGTCCTCAGGGTTACAAATCATTGTGTGGCAAACATGACACCATTTACAGCAATTGATTTTGCTCAGATAGAGGTGCGATGCAAAGGTGTTTAACACTGAGAGCGAGAAACGAAGGGTGTCATACCTGGATGTTAACATCCGCCCCGTTGTTTACTAACAGCTCAAGACACAAAGCACCGTGCGTGGAGGCAGCAGCGAAGTGCAGGGGGGTGAAGCCGCCGTTGTTGGGCTGGTTCACGTTAGCACCGTAGTCCGTCAGCTCGTTGACCACAGCGTCCTGCCCGTTGTAGCAGGCCAGGTGAAGCGCCGTGTTTCCGTAGACGTTGATTTCATCGATCTGCGAATGAGTCCAAAATGGGTGATTAAAATCACTGGAGCCAATTTACCCCATTTTCCACAAAAGCCTAATGGCTATGCCAGAGAAAGGAAATGTCCACCTGTTGACATAATTATTCAGTGCTGACTCCTGCCATTGTGGTCACCCTGCAAATGCTTGTCACTAGAGATGAAGATCAGCAAAGACCGAACGTGACAAAAAGTGAACTGGGGAGGACAAGTAAGTGAGAGGTTTCAACTTGTGGAGAAAGAGTTTGGGACTACGGAAGGGATTCAAAAGTGAAGGGCACAGCTGTCTGGAAAAGCCAGAGGAGAACTGAATCAGGGGAGCGAGAAAGCAGCCTGGGACTCAACAGTGAACTTGAAGCGAAAGGGGTGGGAGACGCGCGGGGAGGTGCTGTGGAGCCACAACTCAGAAGCTGGACTCAGAAGCCACTCTGGGTTTGGCTCTGCCGTCTGACACCTCACAGGGCCTCGTTCTGTAGCGGGGCCGTGAGGCTGTCCTGGGTGCTTAGGCCATAGCTCTTTCTTGCTGCCCCGACTGCTGGGTTTCACCATCATGGTCTCAGTACTGTCACTTGGTTTCCTTTCCTCCAGAGACAGGGATGTTCCAGAGACTCACCGCTGCTCCTGTTCTGCTACCTGAAGGTTGGGCTGACTTCTCCAGCTCAGCACTGGACACTTCTGCTGTTTGTCCCTGCTCATTTAGGCTTGTAAGCCACAATTTAGAAGGCCAGATTCTGAAGGTGGGGTGAGGAATCCTGGCCAGGCTTTGAAAAATGACTGGTTAGAGCATTGTCCCCATATGCCTAAGCTGTGGGTTTGATCCCCGGTCAGGGCACATACAGGAATCAACCAATGAATAGATGTAGATAAAAGGGTGGAACAACAAATCAGTGTTTCAATGTTTCTCTCTCTCCCTTTCTCCCCTCCCTTTCCTCTCTCTCTCAAATCAATAAATAAACATTGAAAAATAAAATGCAAACAGGATTTAATTTCAGAACAAAAGAAAACCCACAAATACATAGGATTTCACTTCAGAACAACAGAAAGCCCCCAAATACACCTTGGGGTGATGCATGAATCGTAGCTCACCTCCACCCCCAGATTCAGGAGATGTTTGACAACACTGATCTGTCCGTTGGAGGCTGCAGCGTGCAGGGGGGTGTAACCCTTCTTATCCTTACACGTCACTTCTGCGCCGTGGTTAATGAGCAGTGCCACAACGTCCAGGTGGCCTTCACAAAGCAAGCAGCAGAAAACATCGTTAACCTTTACAGGACAATTTGATGATTCAGTCCACCTAAATTATCACTGTTACCTTTTATTGCCACCGGTATTTTGCTGAGCTATTTATAAAAAGCTGGTTCATGAAAATATTCAACAAATACTTTGTGAGTACCTACTATGTGCCAGGCTTTATGTAAATGCTGTGGGGGGGAAATAGATGATTCACGTGAGCCTTCTCTTCAAGATCTAGTAGAAGAGATAGATGCCTGCTTGCAAATAAATAAGAACCAAATCCTATAATATGTTAGTACCACAGCCTTAAAAACATTATGTTAAAATGAAAGTAATGTTTTTGAAACCAACTGCTATTCCTTGCTGAAAAGCTCAACAATGGCAACTTGGTTTGGAAAAACTAGTGGGGAAAAATCAGTTAATTAGATGACTCCAGATTAATTTTTAAATTATACGAAATTGCTGCTGTTTGACCAATTTTCTGTTGTTGTGTTTTTTGCCCACAGAAATGGCAATTTCAGATGGTTCAACTTAAAAGTAGTCTCGTGAATTATTGGCTAAACAGAAAACCCATCTAGTTTCAACACTTATTGGCATATTTTCGAGAATATTTTCCTTTGTTCCCTATCGCACTACATACAATATGATGAATGTATTTAACCTTTATTTTGTGACTCAAGATGGTTCGATACTTCAGGGTCCTTGCTGTAAACATGGTTGATAACTGAAGGGTAGAGATGAGTACTGACTCTTGAGTCTAAAATGTGTGTGCAGTGTCTTCTGTGTGTGAAAAAACAGGAGCGTGTGTGTGTGTGTGTTTGAGAGAGAGAGAGAGGCAGAGAGTTTGGTCTTGGCTTGTTTAATTAAAATTTGACTCTTTCCCCCCAAGCCTTGGATATAGAAAAAAATATTTTCAGTTACTAGTGGTGCTATCTTAAGCTTAAGTGGTGCTATCTTTTGTCCTGGTTTTGTCTTTTATTTCCTAAAGATAGTCAACTATGTTTTTTCCTATTTGAATCCTGATGACACACAAAATGATGACTTTACTTCTTTAAAGCAATTCTACACTAATGTTCTGCACATCAGCAAAGAACAAACTTGGAAACCCAGGTTCTTTGAGTCCATCTCACACTAGCTTAGTATGTGTTCTGCCTGAAGATCGGCCTGGCAAACATTCAGGGCTCCAGTCCTGCAAGGACCATGCAGACAGCCAATCTACTTCAGCCAGCCCAGAACTCCACGTCACCTTAAAAAGGAAAATGCTTACAAAATCTTAAGAGTCTGTTTTTTTAAGCCCAAAGGTTCATTCAGATCCAGTAGCGCATAACTTATGTCATCCCTGATCCAGCCCACTCTCTTCTTTCTCCCCACAATTAATGTGTGTGTGTTTTATGAGATAAAAAGCCTGTATGCTTCTTTAAAAAGATTCAGAAAAAGCCAAAAGGTAGTCAAAGGAAACCGAAATCATCCACAATCATCAATCCCTGGAGATAATCAGTTAACATTTCAGTCTATAATATATCCCAGGTTGTTTTTATTGTATAGATTTTTTTAAATGGGGATCGTATTATTTATACTGTGTTATGACCTGTTTTCACTTAACACATCAGAGAGTCTTCCCATGTTAATAAATACTGATGACATCATCACTGTAGTTACTGCACAGCGTCCCATTGTGTAGATCTCCCATAATTTACCAGCACGATCTCCTGTGGATGGGCACTCAGGCTGTTTATAACTTGGTGCTGATAGAATCTTGTCTGCTCTTCCAATTGCAGGATGTTCTCCAATGAGAAACAAAAGGAAGGATCTTCATTTCCCACGGGACTACACTGGGAATAAACTCTATATGGTCTATCATTTCTCAGTGGTATTTGGGCCAACAAAAGTGAAAAGGAAAAATATAGAAATGTCGTTTCTTGTCCCATCTCCGCCAGTCAAGCTGGCAGAAGCAAGGACGGCAAGCCCCAGCTTTGCTAGCAGTGGACAAACAGGAAAATCCACAGTGACTCTGGTCACCTCAACCTACACAGTAGCCAGAGGGCTGTCCATCCATCCTTCCTTTTTGTTTCTTTCAAAAATATTTATAAATAAAAAAAGACAAATAGAATTTATGTCCTTCCTTCACTAGCCAGTCCTCTTTCTTTTTAAACACTTTATCTTGCTTCCACAACAAGGTAAAATAAGCACAATTTGTGCAGCTTTTCGATCCAGATTGAAATATATTCAGTGAGGTCCAGGCCACGATTCATCCTTCCTCCTCCTTATAGGAAAAGTAAATCTCTGGCAAAGCAACTGCCCAACTACAGGGTTCCTGGAGTGCCAGTAAAATGGACCAAATCTTAATCCAACTGAATCCCAAGATTGAAAAGAAGTCAGACTTGCCCAAGGAAAAACCTATATGGTCAGTGAGAAACCCAGCGCTTCTTTAATGAAGGTTTCATGCACTCTGCTTTCCGTTCATGGCATCCTTACCCATGTATGCTGCCCAGTGCAGAGCGCGCCGGTCCTTCTTGTCAAATGCATTGATGTTTGCCCCTTTGGCCAAGAGTAAATTGACCATCTGAAAGATAACCAATAATGAAATCAAGCATACACCGTGTAATGGTGAGGGTCCCTTACCACCTGCAAGTGATCTGAGCCAAAAATAGTGTCAAGGCAGGTTGGAGATCTGGAATTCAAACAAAGTAAGAAGATGACATCGCAGCCAACCCTGTGGCACAGGCATCGGAGAAAAAGACTGAAGTGACGGCTACTTTTTCAGTTCACTGTGGCTTTAAATTTAAAAATAGTTTTGCATACAAATATTATCATCACGTTCTATAAAAGTCTCAGAAGTAATATTAGGTCCCACTTGGGGCTAAGAGAGCCCATAGGGAGGATTCTGGTTGCCAACGATAAGGACACCCACCTCCACGTGGCCGTTGAGAGCGGCGTGGTGCAAGGCTGTGCGGCCCCCTCGGTCGGAGACATTGACGCTGCTCAGCAGGGGAATGATCACTTCTGCACACCTGACAGCCTTATTGGCTGCTGCTACGTGGAGGGGGGTCTGCCAGTTCTTGTCTCTTGCATTAACATCAGCCGAGTGCTTAATCAATACTTGCACTGCTTCCTACAACCAAAGCAGAGTTTGCACGGGTCACTGACAAATGCTCGATCAATACTCGGGTGTAAGATGTTACACCAGACCCTGGAGCTACGGAAAGGGAAGGCTCCCTCCCCTCACGAGCTGGCTTCAGATGGATATTCTTCTGTGACAAGAAAGTAATGAGTGATTAAGATCAAGAGTGGCACAGATTAAAACAGGTTTTCACTCTACATTTCTTTGTTAGGCCAAGAGCCCTGGCACATCTCCAAAACCAAATAAACCTTCTAAGGATAAGGCTTCCTTATAAGGTATCAGGTATTTTTAGTGAAAAGAGAGCATGCATGTGCAAGTGTGCACATCAGGGTGAAATATCCATCGGCCAAAAGGCCCCCAAAGATCAACTGAGGTTAGAGGTGTTTGTCAATAAGTCTCCCTCTTCCAAAGCCAATGGCCTCAAAGCCCTTCAGACATTCTTGGATCAATTTATAACTCTTTAGTTCTCTCAGCCAACATCTTAGCTCTCACTCTGTGATCAATAAGCAGTCAAGCAGAGAGGATGTCTGTTACTACCTCAACTAGAAGTTACAGACTTTTGTTTTTCCAACCTTTTCCACATTGCAGTGGGGTCATTTTTTTTCCTACTATTGAGTTCCTTCTCCTTTACTGAGCCTCCCACTTTTTATTTTCCTTCTGAGGACCTAATCAGCTTGTTAGCCTCTTGAACTATACCTCTACTTGGGTTGTGCAATGAAATCACCTGGGGAGCCTTAAAAATACAGATGCCTGGCCCCACTCCAGAGAATCTATATGGCCTCAGAATTTCTCTGAAGCTCCCTGGGGACTTGATTATGCAGCCAGGATTGAAGACACTGTTCTGTTCAATCAAGGGAATGATACAGCTGTTGGTTGTTTCTGTTTATTTCCAGGGACACCCTTTGGAGTAGTTAATGGGGCTTCTTTATGGACAGCTTAACAATGTGTCATCAATGAGCCAATGAAAAGCATCAGTCCCACATTCCTGCCACCCCTCATGGACTAAGAGCTCACCTTTGTCCACCCTAATCCCCACAGGCCTGGACTGTCCAATCTGCTTGATCTTGCAAGTATATAAAAATGCCTCCAGATAGCAGATAATTCAAACTCTCAAAATTAGTACTTTTACCAGGGACATCAATGATGAAATAAAAAGAATGTTCTGTGAATCAGTAGTAGGAACATGTTGAGATGAATGGCTAACTTAGTAGAATGAGAGCAAAGAGAAATTAACTTTGCTAATTAGAGACTATAGTTTAAATAAATAGTGTGAGTTCATTCAGATGCTATAAATAAAGGGTAATGAGCTCATAGGGCTCATCCAAACAACTTAAGATTATCAAAAAGGGGGGGAAAGATATAAGCCACCCATCCTCAGCAAGATGAATAATAAAGTAATGATTACTAAATATTCCTTGAACCTAGTTCAGAGCCAAACATGTATATGTTATGCTTACCTACTAGAACTATGGAAGACTGAGGAAAACATTACCCAGGATCTATCCTAAAAACTAGATGGGTACACAAAAAATAAAGAAAAGCTACATCACAATGAAGCATTAAAATTAAAATTAGAAAAATAATACTTTTATCATCTTTGGTCTCATAAATACGGTTTATGTAGATGCAAGACAATCTGTTATGATGTGGGAAGAAAATATTGGAACCTTCATTTATATTTATTTTCTTTAAAAAGGAAAGCATTTTAGCTGGTATTTAACTTCTGGGTTGGCACTGTGCCCTCAGTCAGCTCCATAGAGGATCTTGCCTCACAGTATTGGAGATGCCCTCAGGGAAGAGAGGGACTTCCACAGTGCTGAGGGGGTGGGCCTTGCCCTGGCTCCATTCATTAGCCTGGAGTGCACCCAAAGGGACAGGGATGGGCCTGCCAAGTCGATTTACAGACTGTAATATGTACCCTTAAACTAAAAGCATTCTAAAATAAGCAAGATTTATGCAAGGAACCCATATAAATAATGTGGAAGTCACAGAGCTGACACTTCTACTCCTAGTAAAAGCTTTCTATCACCTACATTACAAGGTAAAAGTAATGACAAATTTAATCAGATCTGACAAGAGCTTGGCCAAAACAGAGGAAAATCATCAGAAGTCTATTATCTACCTTGGTTATGTAAGACTATGATAAATGAAAAGCCTCACCCCCTAAGGATATTGTGCCTTGAAATATTAGCTAATGATAGTATTTCCAGTATATAATTTATAAATAAATGAGATGCACATCTTGAAATGCATGCTGAAAAAGTTTTGCAGATATATGGCCAAAAAGATTGAAGATCATCATCTCAAAGCAGTACTGTAAAAGCTGGTACAGTATCCTTTTTATACATTCACAGCAAAATAACAATACACACTGTTACTTTAATACCTTTGCCTTGTGCATTATTTTATTGCATTTGTACAGATTCTTGCTTTGCATTAAATATTATGTAAATTCAGGATAGACTAACAAAACAAAATACACAAGGACATTTCACAAATTTTAATCTTGGAAGCACTTTAACATAGTTTTAAGAGGGCATAATTTTATGGCTACTTAGGGAATTAATGATTTCTGTAATTTAAAAAAAAAAGTCTCTCTTCCTGTATCACATATTGGCTCTGACAGAAATTTAGAAGGTAAAACAGAAACTAATGTAGGGGAAAAAAAGTTGAACACTTTCTGAATCAAGAAAAGTTACTTGCATGATATTTCTCGAACTATCTGTGGTAAAGGACGAGTTTTTAAAATTATATCACTTCAAATCTATCAAGAGCCAATATTTTTGTAAAATACAATTAAAAGTAGAATAATAAAATGGAAAAAATAAAGACGCAAATTATAAACTCAATTATTTTATTATTAAATTTGGGAGGCGTGAAATTACTCTATCAAATTGCCCTAAAAGGTTCTGAATGCTCACTCTTATCACGGCAAGTAAACGAAAGCTTCTGGACCAGTACTCAGGCCACACTGTGAGTGGTGATTCCTCAAAGCCTTTCTTTCTTTTTTAATGAACCAGAAAGTGTGAAGATTCTGGCATTTCCCCTGAAAGGAGGTTTCAGTCAGCAAACACTCAGCGTTAGGATCGTGGGCCTGTTGGTTCCACTCCATAGCAGGCTGTCCTATATAAGTACTAATAGACACAGGAAGGGACTGTCATAGGATGTCACACGGGAAGGAATTGGAGATGGCATTTGCAGTCGCTTTATTTCTACTTTTTATGACTTTCTCTTTTTACAAAAGGCCGCTCCAGCCCTGTAACAAAAAGTAGAGACATACACTGTGGCACATGGAAAAGATGAGAAGAAATAGGAAGCATGCGTCCTAAACACTGTCACCTCTAATATTTGTTTTTTTACTCTTAGATGTGCATTGTATTTAAGTGGTCAAAAATTACTCATGGAAAAGTAATTGTTTATGACTCCGGAGTCCTTGCAGGCACAGGCAACGTCAATTTTATAAACTGCCAAGTTGCTTTAGACCAGGGTGTGAGCCTTATACAATTTTCTGGGCTCTTTACAAAACCTGGCAGATGCCTTGCACACAGTGTATATTCAATAAATTTGGGTAGAATAAATATATTAGTATAATCATTAGCAAACTAAGTAATAATATGCAAGTATTAACAAGGCATTTACCATGCGCTGCTGTCCCTGAGGCTGCACGCAAGTCCTGAAGGCATTTACTCTATTACTAAAATCATTGGGGCTTTCACCCCCTACTACTTAGAGCAATTTCATATTCTGTAAGAATTCTATAAATTGGAGCCGAACTAATTTGTTCAATTAATCAGATGATTCCTCTAAAAAGTACCCATTATTAAATTAAACTCACCCTTTATTATTATAATTATTATTGAGGACGATTATTCTAAGAACTAGTAGTATAAAGAGGGTTTTCACTGGAGACTGTGGGATATGAAAAATTCAAAGGAAACTATTCGAGAAGCGCTAGCTTCAAACATTGGGAAGGCCAGATATTAAATTGTCCTCAGTCTTCAATCTTGGGTCTCAAAGTGTGATACATAGACCACATGCATCAGAATCCTCTTTTCAAAATACAGATTTCTGGGCCCACCCACAGGCTTCATCACTGGGGTGAGGTGCTAGAACAGGCACTTTTAACGAGCATCCAGATGAGCTGAATGCACACTAAGTCTGAGTACAACTCATTTCTATTCAAAAAGGTCATAAAATGCTTACTTTCTTCCCATTCCAGGTATGAGCTATATTCTCTATGTGGTTATCGTTTTATAATTATAAAGATAATTTAAGGAAGGCAATAATATTCTAGTCTCTCATATAATTTTTCCAATTCTCCTGTCTACTGTCATTTAGCCCACAATAATAACAATTTTTTTTTTTAGAAGGAAGAGGAAAACATGAGTTTTTAACATTTAAGCTATAAAATTCTTATCTTACTCAACTCTGGGAAACACCTTTATACCCATTGGGACGTCTGTCTGCACGGACACAGGAACAGACCCATTTTATTGGCTGGAACACTATCAATAAGGGGGCTCAGATGGTTGAAAGTAAGCAGTAGGGCACTGTGGTTAAGAGAGCAGGTTCTCTAGTTATACTCTCCTCAACTTACTGCCACCTTAGGTTCCTCTCCGAGGTCATGTTTCCTAAATTAGGCTTAATCACAGTATCAATCTCAAAGAGTGGCTCGGAGGTTAAAACGGAATCATGCACAATAAGTGTTTAGCATACTGTCTAGCATACAGCAAGTGCTCAATAAGTGTTCATCACGGCAATAGATATTTGCACACAACATCCTCGATGCTACACTCCAAAGACAGGATACAACCATTTTTAACTTTTCTATCCAAAGGATAGCCTCCAGAACAGGAAACTGTAAAGTCCATCAATTCTCCTCTGTGCTATATCAGTTCATTATAGAAGAAAAGGCATGTGTGAAACGCCAGCTAGCTGTATTTGCATGCAGGCCACAGGCTGTGTGCTGGCCGTCTGCCCTAAACACTGTGTCCCAGAAGCTCCCTTTGTACCCCCTCAGGGCCCCTCTAGCACATTTAACAGTGCCTTCCATCCAGTGGGCTTCAATAAACATGTGTTAAACACTCCAGGTTTGCAAGCATTTAATTCCTTTCCCCTACAGCTGCTCTTTTCCAAGAAAGAAAAACAAAAATGTAACAAGAACAAATTAAACAGAGGAAACAATATGAAATAATCTACAACAGCTCAGAAAATTCTCCCTGGAAGCCCCAAATCTTGCTCATCTACATTATCTAGAATTGCAAAATATGTTTCCCTAATATTTTGGTAAGAGAGTATCCATTTCTTCACAGCCTTGGAAGTAAAGAGGGGGATGAGCGAAGCCCTTAGGGCATCAACAGGAGATAATGCTGTTTGGCTCTGATGAATCTGTTTGGCTGTTTCCTTCCCGGGAATTCCAGATGGGGAGGGGTAGAGGTGGAAGTAGGATATGGGACTGGGCCTAGAAGGGAGCACACAATACTGCCTGGTCAGTACCAAACAACCCCTGAAGGTTTATCTCCAGAACCCAACCTATGCTGCACGATTTTAAGGGCTATGGCCATGTCTCGATCTGCTTCCTTGTCTGCAGGGGAGCTTTCATAATTCAGGCAGGGGTGGACGTTTCAGCAAGATTATGACCTGATACTCCTATTGTTATAACAGCCTCAGGAAATGAATTCAGCAATACACATTATTTTTCCAGGCACAGAAATCTGAACATAAAACTTGCCTAGATGGAGAGAAGGCTCAGGAATTTTGACTTGTGCTGACTGATATCTTGGACTTACACTGATATGGGTGTTGCACGTGATTTCGAAACTCATCCTGATTTTGCAAGTTCTAGTGGGCACTCCAAGCTCCAAGTCAGTTCACCTTGCATGCGTGGAAGATGGTTATCTCCAGCACGCTCTGTGGGGTATACCAGTTGCACGACAGCAGCTGTACAGAAAAGCATCTTCGCGGAGCTGAAGTTAACATGAATCCCCAGTCTTTCATGAATTGCTCAGAAATAACTGTGTACTGAGCAGGCTGGTTGCTAGAAATACAATGATAAGCAATGTACATGGCACTAATTTTAAGGAACTTACTGTCTAGAAGATCTTTTTCATTAAAACAGAGTAACAATTTCAATGGTCGCTTTATATTGTGTCCAGTTAGCCAAGTCGAACTACATTTCCCAGGGTTCCCTCCCTGCACGGTTCTGCTCAGGGCTGGCCACAAGACTCATGGGCATGAATCTGGGAAGGCACAGGTGAAGCCGCGGCCTGGCTGACGCGCTGGCTGGCGGGTGCTGCTGCAGCTCGTGCACGACGTCACTGGCCCGCTGGATCACCGCGTTGGCACAGGGCAGTACCAGGTGATATTGCCACAGCTTCCTCAGTGTCTGCCAGGCCTGGGCCAGGCGTGGGAGAGTCCAGAGGCGATGCATCCAGATCCTTCTACAAGTCACCCACACCCACGAGGGTGAGGCAGTTTTAGAGGCAGGCAGGGGTTCCCGTTTGTCCCTGTTCTCCCCCACTTCACATCCAGATTTTCTTATTAACTGCAGACCCCACTGGACCACAGTGACTTCCGGACCCCACAGAAACCAAGGTGACAGCAGCTCGTACAATTGTGCGCGGTCTAATTCCTATAATAAATATCATATTCTCTAACTCCCATGGTGGTTCTGCTTCCCCGATTCAACGCTGAACCCTGAGAGATCCATTACCTGCATTTTAGAAGCACAGGGACTTCAAGGACAGGATAGAGTTTACAAGCCTTTCAACGAAGGAATGATTGTTAATACATATTCATGTAAGTAATAGCTTTGCTTGTGGATCTAAGCAATAGACAGATGTGCCAGTGCTCATGTTGAACGCACATATCCCCTTTGGCAAGTGCTAACAGCCAAATTATCAGCCCGAACCTTCCCTGGTCTTTCCCCCTAAAGCCTGCTTCCCTTCCCCAGCTATGATTTAGGGGAGTCATGGAGTAATGGCAACATGATCAACTTCAAAAAAGGGAAATCTGAATTTCCTAAATCTGGACTTCTTACACTCAGGGTGATGTGCTTTGGAGCTAAGAGGCCCTCAGTTAGTTCTAACAATGGTTACAGACACTCCAATTTTCATAGTAAACTTTTCAATCTACTGTGAAAGATATTAGTATGAAGACATCTTCTTGCACAAGCTTATAAATGACCCTGATTATTTACAACTCAGGTCCTGTTTGCATTTTAATTCCTTCCTGGCAAGAGGTACCTGCAAGGGATTTTCCCCCCACAGAAAACCTGCAGAGGGAGCTGGTTCTTTAGAGAAACAGCAAATGCCTTCTCCAGATAGGAAGGCTGATCCATCTTGGAGTTGACTGAATTCAAATATAACAAAGATAACGTAAAAAGGTAAGCTGATGGTTGATGGAGGATAGATGTTTTGAGGACTGAAGTCTTTGCCACTAGTCTAGCTAAAAAAGGTGAAGATCACATAGTACCAAAGTCACTTGCTTTTGTGCCTTTCTGTCCCACCAGACTACATGCTTCCTAAGCACAGGGGCCATGTGTCTTTTCTGTTGTTGTAGCTCTACCAGCAAGCACAGTGCCAGGCATGTAGGAGGTGCTTAGTAAATGTCTTCCTAAACTAAAAAGATCTGGTTCTTGTTAAACGAGGAAACAAACCCATACTGTTCAAAAGATACTTAATTTTTATTTTATTTTTAATTTTACCAAAGATGAACAGGTTTTAAGAGACCGAGAAAAACTCCTCTGTGAAGGAGCTGGTCTCACAAAGCTGGTTGTATGAAGTCAAGCAGCCCATCGCACCTGCTTTCCCAGGTAAAATAAATGAAAATGTGGCCCAGCCAGCATGGCTCAATGGTTGAGCATCAACCTATGACCCAGGAGACCGAGGTTCGATTTCTGGTCAGGGCACATGCCTGGGTTTCGGGCTCGATGCCCGGTAGGGGGCGTGCAGGAGGCAGCCGATCAGTGACTCTCTCATCGATGTTTCTCTCTCTCTCTCCCTTCCTCTCTCTAAAATCAATAAAAAATATATATATATTTTTTAAAAAGAAATGAAATGTGGGATCATAAGAAGATTGTGGGACCATAAGAAGATTCCCCAGGGTCCAAGCCAGGCAAGTTAGGGTCATATGCGTCCCTCCTTCCACGTGGGCTATTTGGAAAGAGAATACAACCAACCTCTTATTAAAAACTACCCAGTATGGAGGGACCTGGAGAATATTATGCTGAGCAAAATAAGCCAGGCAGAGAAAGACAAACATCACATGATCTCACTTACATGTGGAATCTAAAGAACTTAATAAACTGATGGACAGAACAGATCAATGACATGGAAGCATGGATCAGACTGACGAATGTCAGGGGGATGGAGGAGGGCGGGTGGGTGGAGGGGGAGAGAGTAACCAAAGAACTTATATGCATATATGCACAACCCAAGGACATGGACAATGGTGTGGAGAGGGACTGGGGAGGGGGATGGGACAGGATGGAATGGGTCATTGGAGAGAAAAAGGGACATTTGTAATATTTTGAACAAAAATAAAATAAAAATAAATTTAAAAAAATAAAACCTACCCAAATCACACAGCACAGCAAGGAAGACTGTGAGCACTAGGCAGTCATCTACCAAGTACACTGTGCGGTTTCCAGACAGTTGCCAACTGCCAGCCATCGACGCCTGCAACACTGGTATGTGCATTCTCAGCGACATCCCTAGCTCCTAGGTGTACCTGGAGAACATCACCTCTCCAGGAGCAGAGGAGAAACGTCCTTTGGTAAAGCCAGCTACAAAGACTAGTTATCCAATGCCAAGTACCTCCGAGGTTAGAGCCTTTTGGATCCCTGCATTGTGGGCATCCCTTTCTTGACCAGGCCAACGTTCACATTCACCAGGGTTCCTGCCACCCCTTCCCCACATTGGTTTTCTCTTCTTGACCCTTACACTTTCCCTGGACCAGCGGAAACACTTGCCATGGTTTCAATGATCACTCTCTGTTCCTAAGCTCTAGATCTGTATAAGTAATAGTAATCAATTAGCCATTTTCACTTGAATTTCCAGCATTCAAATAAATTCTTCTTGAGCATCTACAATGTACCAGGCTTGAGATACACCAGGGAACATAACACAGGTCTCTGCCCTCATGGGCTTACATTCCAGACATGTGTTTGCCAAACTCACTTGTTCACACAGAACTGATAAGCTTCCCACCCCCTGGTCCTCCGCCTCTGTCTTCTCAGATAACAGCATCAACATTCACCCACTGGCTTCCTTTCCAACTCACCTCACAAGGTTCCCAATCCTGTCCTGTTCACGCTTATCTCTGCTCTGACCACTTCCCGGTGCTCAGAGGACACCCAGCCCTCTACCACTTAACCCAGGTCCTACTATCAGGCTTATCTTCCTCCTCACCCCAGGTTCCAGTAACATCCCTCCTCCTCCTGGCCTGGTAAGTCCCTACTCATCCTCTAAGACCTGGCTCAAGTGGCATCTCTTCTTGGAAGACAGCTGGCTGCTTCCTCCTCTGACTCAGTTCTGGTGCTGTACTGATCAGCTTACCTGTTTACCTCCCCCTCCAGATCGAGAACTCGCTGACGTCAAGGCCCATGCTGCCCATCTCGGACTACCCCGTCACCCCCAGCCATGCCTGGCATGCAGGGGGTACTCAAAAAAATAGTTGTTCAATGCCGGTAACCCTTTTGCATTAGAAGTAAAAGCCTTTTGCTCACCAGTGAGAACCCCTAATTCAGCAGAAAGAGTTTTTCTCTATGTAGGGACTGACGGTGCTAGATCAAATAAGATAGTCACTCACCTCACTTCTGGAGGCAACAGCCCGGTGCAGTGGGGTCAGCCACATGTTGTCCTTGGCGTTTACGCGAGCTCCTGGAACCAAACGGCACAGTTAGAGGCATGGCGCAGTCAGGGGAGTTCTGCTGACATTACGTCAGATCCTGTCCCTCGCACTCTCATCTGCCTGGTACGATCACCACGTTTCGTTTTGTTTTTCCTTTGTATCAGTCATGTGCTTTCTGGCAACTACACAGGAGGAGACACCCAGTACAGCAGAAGGAGCAAGATGAAGAACTGAGAATGTCACAGAATTGGGTAAAGACTAGATGAGAAATGCAGCATCTCACTGGGTGGGAGACACAGCGGTGAGAAAACTGAGAGTCTCCAGGTCTACGGAGATGTATGTTCTGAAAAATAAAAAACTTTTCAAGTGTGTGTGTGTGTGTGTGTGTGTGTTCCTGAATATAAAATATATAAGCAGATCTATTATTTTATTTTTAGTCATTAAGTATATTTATCTCGCAGGGCCCATAGCACCCTTGTTGGCAAGCTGTCAGCGATGAGCAGCCTTCCAATGAATGTGTACTAGAGGCCAGTCAACTTTCAAACAAATCTTGTAAAGCTGAGTTCTGATGAGATTTCATCTGGGCTGAGAGGATTAGCAGAAATCTGCTTTATCCAGGAATCCCAATTCTTTCTCTGAGACTAGCCAGATATTTCGGTAGGAATAAGCCAGCTTTCACAGAGCTACTGGACGGCACAACATAAAGCCTAAGTAGGCTGCTCATGGCTCCCTCACACGATGGATGGACAGACGGGTTCACACACGAGCCAGAATCAGCTCACACTCACAGATGTGCCTAATGGTCGTCTCTGGAGCCACCTCACCAGGGAGGAGAAGCTCCATATGAACGGATTCAGGGAAAGCAGACCCTGCCCTCCTTCCGTGGCCCCTCACAAATCCCCACGCATACAAGCCCTCCAAGTCTACAACTGAATGATAAAAACACCCCATCTCAGCTCCTTTTGGGGGGGTTCAGGGTTTCAATCAATCTTCTGATCAGAAATAGAAAGTTTTAGAAAAGGGCCCCTAAGAGGAAGAGGAGGAGTGAATATAGGGATCTGTGTCGATGCAGGAACACGAGACTGTTTTAGCTTCAGGACAACAAGAAGGAAGCTCGTGAGGAAGGGCAGTGGAGAGATGAACCGAAGCAACTAGAAAGGGAGGCGGGGGAGGGGAAGGCGGCGGAGGTGCCTCTGGGACCGGATGTGAACCTGGGCCAAGTGGAAGCGGGGCTGACTAATCTCTGCGAGGCCAAGGCCAAGGCCAAGGCCAGCTGACAGCTTAAAAAATAGAATCCTTGTGTGTGTGTGTGTGTGTGTGTGTGTGTGTGTGTGTGTGTGTGTGTGTTTTAAAGACAGCAAGATACTTTCATGGGTAAAAGTGAGCTAGCAATTTAGTTTAAGACATCAGCTAAAAGGAAATAACAACTCATAGAAGGTACATAATTTTTTTTCTCTTTAACTGAAGAATGACCATCAACAATATTAATTAGAGACAACAAGAACATAATAATCCCTAAAACAAAGAGGCAGACTGCCTCCTCTCCCCTCCCACATTCTAACGTCACTGGTTTGAGATGGGGCCAGGCCCCAGTGTACTTTAAAAGCTCCCGAGGCTATTATAATATGCTGTCAAGGTTGACAGCCACTGATAAAATTGTTGCTTAGTTTATTAAGCTGAAAATTATTTAAATCCTAATTCTACTAACTCCATCCAGGCAGCTTACCTGAGACAGTGCAAGCCCCTTACATCAGTAAGGACCAAGTAAAATCACTTTGGGCCTGCTAAGAATCAAAGGGAGCAGGCATCTCCCTCCCCAGCAGCAGGAAGCCCTGGGCGAAACGCTCTGGAGGGAAATGAACGAGGGCAGTGGAATCCCTAGGCAGAAGACCAGGTTTGAGTCCTGCACTTACGTACAGGCCCAGTGACCAAGGCCACCGATCTGTAAAATGAGCTAACAAGCACACAATAGTAATAGCCCTCGACCCACTTCACTGGGTGCTTGGAGAATAAAATGAATTGGAAGGTGCTGTGTAAATTGCAGAGCACCAGAAAAATATTAGCAGTTCTTATTTCCAAATCCCCTCCAATGCCTCATTCAGCTCTCAATCTACGACTCATGGAAGTGAGAGGCATAGTCTTTCTGTCACACTTTTCTCCCCCTACCTCCAAACACGGGTTATAATATGAAAAAGAAATAAATATTTTATTATATTCATTGTCCTTGACAGAGTAAATTTGTGTTGTCTGTGTATAAACTTAAAAAGCTAATATAAGAGGAAGGAACCCGAATAGTTAGACACCTATAAAAAGATACTTCTCAAAATTCATTAGGGAGGGACTAGGTGGAAAAGGTGAAGGGATTAAGAAGTACACCTGAAACTAATACAATATTGTACATAAACTGTAGTTGGAAAAAGAAATTTTTTTGCTTTATTTTTTTCCATCACCATTTATCCCCTCTATGCCCTCTTCTACCTCCACCTACCCCTTGAAAAATAAAAAAAAAATATTTAAAAGAAAAACAAGAAGTACCAATTGGTAGTCACAAAATAGTCACGGGGATGACTGTTTTGCAGCAAAAGGAAAATCGTCAATAATATTGTAATAACTATATACGGTGCCAGGTGGGTACTTTAAATATCAATATGATTGTCTAACCACTGTGCTGTAAACCTGAAACCAATACAGAATAATATTGAATGTAAACTATAATTGGAAAAAAGTTGGATGTTTTGAATGACAAAATGCACTAGTTGTAAAATAAAATAATTCAGGAAGTTTTAAAAAATTCACCAGGGAGAGGCAAATGAAAGCAACACTAACATACCATTTCACATCCATCAAATTGGTGAAAATTATAAAGGATGACAATGCCAAGAGTTAGTAAGAGTATGGAGCAACAGGAAGACTTAAATACAGATGGTGGGTGTGTGAATTGGTATAAGCCCCTTCTGGAAGCAATTTGATTCTACCTAGTAAAGTTGGCAATGTGCACCCTACCTCTCAGCAATTCCACAGCCAATGGGCTGCAACTATGTCTTCAATGTTTTATTTCCTTTAAAAAAAGATACAATGCAAATATGGAAACTTTGACTTCATAAAGCTTGGTGGACATGGGTATTAATTATATTTTTTTCACACTTTTCTGTATATTTGAAATATTTACTAATACAATGTTTTTAAGAAAGCTAACACATTTAAAGTTTTATATTTCTTAATAAAGGGGGGGGGATTAAGTTGCTTTTTTTACACTATTTTTTTTCTCTGTTAGTGGCCCTTGGTATGAAAATGACACTTCCACCCTTTCTATATAAAGTGGCCCAGCCATACAGTGCCCTCCAGGGTTTCCCAAGGTGTACACTAGGGGAGTAAGAGAGTAACAGCAAGATGCTGTTGGTTGTACAGTCCAATCTGAAAAGAAAGTTTTCAGTTAAGGCTGTGTTACATGCTGGTGTCCTAACTTTTTTCTCATGCTCTCCTCTCTCCACAATCACTGCGGCTGATCCCAAAGGCAGACCCCCAGCTGTAGAACAGAGGCAAGGTAAGTTCCCCCAGGAAAGGCCGGACCAAGGAAGCCATGCCTACCCACACGTGGCAGAGGTCTAGAATCTTAGGGAATTTTATGTTGACTCCCCAAATGTCATTTTGCTCTCACCACTTTCGGAATCTCAGCATCTCATCCCAGTAGCTCCCTCACCGGCCAGCCTACCAGGATGCTGACAAGGCCAAGGCGCACGTGGGTAGCACATGCCCAGACCCGAGTCTACCTGCTTTTGCCACTGCATGTCAGAGTTTTACCTTCAACCTCCCTCTCTTTCCTCTCCCCCCTTCTCCTCTTTCCCTCTCCCTCCCTCCCCACCCCCACTGCATACAACCAATTCTGTCTTTGTGTGTATGCATTAGAATGCTCTACAACATGTTTCTAAAGGAAATAGGTATCAGGGACTATTAAGACTAATCTTTAAGGATGCTTTATGAAAGGGTATCATAAAGTAAAATACTGGAAACAACGCTGGCGTGAGAGGAAGAGCACAGCTGTGATGCTTTATAGGAACGCCTAACAATGTTGAGAGATGCTCACATACTACTGTTACGCAAAAAAACAAATACTAAAACATTACATAGGGAATGAGTGCATTTTTGTAAAAAACACCAGACAGTCTAGAAGGATATACCACAAAAGCCCTGAGAGCACTTCCAGGCACACAGTAAGCACCATATAATTGCTTGCTAACTATTACTGGAGCAGTCGGGGACGAAGGGATAGGGACCGGGGGCATCTGCCACGGCACAGTTCTAAGCCCAGGCCAGACCTAATATTAAGAGCTGCCAACTGGAGGATGATTTCTAGTTAAAAGAGACATTCAGCAATATCTCCTCAACTGAGCTGGCTTGACCGGGAGCTATGAACATTTGCCTATCACAACGAACAGCAACAGACCTGTTCTACTTCATGTTTTGATCATGCAAGTAATACACGAATTCTTATTTTTATTTCTTTGGATGAATTCTTCTTTAAAACATGGATCGTTACAAATTTAGGTAAAGTCCCCTTGACTACCATCCCCAGTGCTGCACTCTCCCCAGTGCCTGAAGAAAACTCCTGCTCTGGTCAGAGAAAGACCAGTACCACATGGTTTCACTCATATGTAGAATTTAATGAACAAACTGAACTACTGAGCAAACTAGAGACGGACTTATAGATAGAGAGCAGGCAAGCAGCTCTGGGGCAGGGGTGGGGGGGTGTTGGGGGAGGCTTCCAGTTTCTTTCAGGCCTTCATATGCAAATATGTGTATCCTTAGAAAAAGGAGAAAACTAAGCTGAGTAGTATGATATTCTTTTGGTATATTTAAAATGTTACACAATAATTTTTAAAAATCTGTAGCATTGTTTCCTAAGCATGCTTTTACATATATTGTATCGTATTGTAATAACACTCTGAATCCCTTTGTTTCACTCAAAAATGTATTTTCTATGTTGATGGTTTTCATTGCCAGATGTATTCCAACATTTTTAAGACATTCTCTCTATTGATAGGTAGTTCAGTTGTCTCTAGTATTTCACTATGCAAACAATGCTGCTATGAACATCCATAAAATGACTCCATATGCAAATGTGCAAGCGTTGGTCTAGGATAGAGCGTTAGAAATGGACTTTGTGTGTCATAAGTGATGCATACTTTTGGTTTTAATACATAGCCTCAACCTTCCAAAGTGTGCCAGTCTGCTCACCCACACAGTGAGTAAGATTGCTTGGTTTCCCCACATCCTCACCAACACTTCACACTGCTGGTCATTGAAAATACTGCAGATCTGATTAGAAGAAAATGGTATCTCATTTGGGGGCTTTCCTGTTTAATAGCGAGGTTGGGTATCTTCTAATATGTTTGTTTCCTGGCCATTTATAATTCATTCTCTGAAAACTGCTTGTTCAGATTCTTTGCCTATGTCCCTCATTTTTCTATTATTGTTTTTCCTTATAAGTTATAGTTAGACATTTACATTGCACTGCTATTAGTATTATTATTTATATGTTCTGAAAACTTTCAGTTTGATGCAGATCCCAATGTGGTTTTTAATATTAAAATTCTTTCAAAGAGAAAAATGGCCCCGAGCTTGCTGAGCTCATAGAGCAGCACGCCCCCACGGGTGACAAACAACAGGGCATTGTTTCCCTGCAGCCTGAGTTATTGGAAGACAATGACTAGGAAGTGGCTCCTCGCAGGTCACTGTTGAAGTCCCCATCTCGCCGCTCCCCCTCCTCCAGAAGATTGAAGGGGCAGCTGCCAGGAAAGCCTCCTCTCCCCAACAACAGAATCGTTACGACAAAAGCAGAGCTCTCTGAACGGGGACCAAGCAGCACTCCATCAGCGTCACCCCTGCCACTGCCTTCCTCACCCCTTCCCCGAACACATCCCAGCCTTGTTTACATGTCACAGGGAGGCGTCAGATGGCTGAATATTTATAACTGATTTTCCTAAAGGAAGCTTCATGTTATTTACCTGCCTGTCAGGAGCCATTGTGCACTGAAGGACACGGGGTCTGCATGACTAATGATTTAAAGGCAAATGCATTTTACCCAAGGACATTTTAAAGCTTAAATACTAAAAAGAAAGAAAGTGCTAGGCTATAGATTCTTCAGAAACAAAGACCCAACTAAGAGCTGTCAGGCATAAACCCTGATTACAAGTTAAGCATGTTTTTCATCTCATTCCTATGAACACCTGATTTTATTTTCAGAGATCAGGAGTAACGAGAGCTCTGGGCATCTTTTCCAGAGGCAAGATTTCTGTTCTCTTAGCCCTGTTGTCTAGGGAAAAGTAGCACAAAGACAAAAGGGAGGACCAGCTGACTGAAAAATCTTATAGGTCAAAGAGAATAACTGATTCTTAAGGCTGACTTAGCCGAAGCTTGGCTTAATTGCAGAAATAAATATAAATAAAAGGTCACATGAAATACGATTATAATATAATATCATGAGATCAGAGTTACTCTTGTTTTTACCAAACAAACCAAATCTTATCACAGTCACAGTCCGGGAGCGGTGCCCTTCAAAGCAATGACCTTGGAAGCATGCATGATAATTCCATGTATGTGGCAATTGCTCAGAACATTTTTAGAACTCCCCTTGGATTTGCCTTTGGAGCCAGTTTACTTACCTACCAGATAATGTCTCATCCCTTTATAATCACACCACACCGGGGGCCAAAATCAGGACTGCCTGATTTAATCACCCCTTTCGCCCCTGGGGGGAAAATAAATAAACAAATCCAACCTTTGGGGATGAATGCTTGTTATGCATAAGAGAATCAAAAGAATGACCTGCCATGGCTCAGGAGGCAATTTTCACTGGGAATGGAAATCACATTTTGAAAAGTCACAGGAAATACTTTTATAGGAACACCACTTGTTTGGTGGCCTACATTCAAATAAATTTATTATTTTTTTAAATTAGTACTTATACCTCACAAACACTCCCATGTTAGAAGTAGGGTCCTTCCAGTTTTCTTCCTTCAGCCCAAGGCTCTAACTCTTGTGCATCCCAGAGTTTCTCTACAAGCTATTGTCACTGTGGTCATTTTTCTGTGTGCTCCGCTTCCTGTGCTCAACCCTTGTCTCTTAACCCTATCCACTAACTGGTTCATGTTGATCTCATTCACACATCTCTGGGAAAAAGCAAGCTCTTGACCTTCTCTCTGAATTAAGCCTGACAAGGCCAACTCCCAAACAGAAGCTAGAGTCAGGTGTGGAGAAATAAAGCCAGAATCCGGTCTGGCAGTGACAGGAAGAGGAATTTCGCAAGGCCTAAATTCCCCTGTCTGCTCAGAGGCATTCGGGACTCCATCCGCCTGGCGAATAGGAGATAATGTCAGTAGGAATTAAGCAGGGTTGGGTTGCACTCCACTCTGTAAGTTAATACAACAATAGAAAACACAGCTGTAATGGGCTATTCTGGCAAGGCCAAATTATTTGTCCAACATGGGAATCATTAGCACCTCATTCATTATTAAGTTGGAAAACAGTTTGGTTGGATTCCCTAAAGGGTCAGCTGCCAGATGTAAGCTCAGAGATGAAATCATCATGCTCTTACAGTGATATTTCTTTAGGACTACAATATACAAATTGGTTACAGGACTTCTAAAGGAAAATTACAGCCGTGTGAATCCCAAGCGTTTATCTAAGCTTCCACGGTTGGGTAAAATTTCTAAAGAACTTTCCCAATGCTCTCTCATACCCTAAATCTTTCTAATTTGATGGCAGCGGGAGTTGGAGGGGGAACAGATTCCATGGCATGTGCCACCCAAAATTACACTAGAGAGGCTAACAGCTTAGTAATTCTAAGACCAAAGAGGTATACAGATCAAGATATATGGAACAGCTTCTCCTGGCTCTACTGAATGAGCCACACTTAAGAGCGGCTGGTGGACTCCACGCCATGTGAAGGTGATGTGAAGCCAAGTTTCTCAGTCACCAACTCCTAGACACCTGAGGGAAACAGATGGGTCACCTTCATGCTGCAGAATTACAATCTTCCTTTCAGATGTGGAAACACACATAAACAAAAACCAAAGCTGGGGGTCTAAGACAAAGTTCTGAATTCGCACATTCATGACCCTAACATGACTCTGAGACTCTGACATGTCTCTTAATACAGTATTTGGATGGTGAGTATAGCTAGTTGGGACCATTAGGTATCATACCACAAAATTCTTCATTTTACAGCCCCACTGATTTCTGCCTACTATTTTCCATGGGCCAAGATTCCACTGCTGGGGCAACTGGCCAGGTGTGTGCTGGCTCTTAGCCATAGCCTGTGCCAGCACCAAACAATGCATGTTTGTTTGGCATGCAGCCTTGGAATAGCTTTAGAACTGTCAGAAGGAAGGCCAGCTCTCAAGAACACAAGGAACGCCATAGAAAATATAACCTGATCTCTACACAACTGTCAGGAGCATAGGGCACACATGTTGTAAGGCACAGAACACTTGTTTCCTGGGAAATCCCACCTCCAGAAGATGAACACAACAAAAAGAGGGCAATGTGAATCTTCCTTGTGTATCCCAGCACAATTCCAGTTTCCTTCCCACAACGTTCTTCACATCTGCTTAAACACCTGTATCAGCTCCTACCCTGGTGGAGCTTACTTTGGGTTCTACAGTTTCTCTTTGTTACTGCGAACAAAGGCCAAACCTTAGAAGAGGCCTTCTGCAGTCTGTGGGCAGAGGCATTTCCTCTAGGCTTTAATCTTCCTAAATAAAAGGAAGGAGGAAGAAAGCTAGCCAGTCTGCATGCGATCCACACGAAGACGCATACATGTGCTCAGATTCATTCCGGGGACTTGTCTGGCAAATACTCATGGCAGAAAGCACATACTGACTTTAGAAACCTGTTTGGTGAGATGTACCAAGCATACAGGTTTCCAAACATGAAAGCATTGGCATTTTAAAATCAGATAAAATATTTAAAGTCCATAGAAAAATAAAGAGAATGATATCACAAAAACCAGTGCACACGTAAATCAGATTTAACATGTGTTTGCCATATTTGCTTCCAATTTTTAGAAAATAAAATACTTTACAGAGTTGTAGGCTTTTATGCAATTCAAATATGTGTAAATACACACACATTTGTGTTTGTTCATATAGGCTTTAAGGAACCGGTTTTCTTGTTTGTTCCTTTATAAAGATATGCAAATATGCTGAATTCAAATACAATACTGGGCCTGATTAGATAGTCAGGAATCCGTTTTTCAAAGGAATATGTAAGTTTTACTGGAGATGTCATTTTTCAATAAGAACCACTTCTTGCACTGTTTTACACATCTACTGGCAAAATCGCTGATCAAATAAACTTCCATGAGCACAATAAAGAAATTTTGTTTGGGTTCATTATAGTAGTCAATGTAATAAAATTTAAATTTTCATCTGCAGTTGACTTTAAGTACAGCTGGTATTTACCTGAAAGAATCAGGAGTTCAATGATCTCTGCATCTCCCAGAAACGCGGCCACGTGGAGTGGAGTCCGCTTCTCAGAATCCTGAAACAATGGCAAAAATAAACAAGTCAGTGGTGCCTGGAGGTGCCTTTTGTAGGCATAGTAAGACAAGTCACCCTCTCTGAGGTTAGTGCGTGTGGGAAGAGACGCCTACTCAGGTGAGTTCTGGTTAAACATTTCCCTCAGCATCTCCCACAGTCACATGTACAAAAGATCCCATTTTCTGTGTCCCTGTTGTGATGGCCTCACTGCTCCTTTTATGAAAGATCAGCTCAGGTCAAGAACGGACCATCATTCACTGGGTGATGAATCTGAATTTATTTTCAAACCTTCCGTAATGGCTAAAAACAAATCCGAGCCTTTCTACCTACCTTAACAGCATAGTTCAAAGCTTTCAATGATTTATTTTCTTTCTGGAATTGCTCACAAGGACATTAAACATGAGTATGGTTACTTTCTCCTTTCTATCTCCATTAACTGTTGCCTAGACCCCCATTCATGGAATATTTACTGAATACCTACTATGTGCCAAAAACCAGTTTCTGGGGACAGAAGGGTAACCATGAAAGGCCCAATCCCTGACTTCATGAAACTTACATTCAAGTGGGGGACCAACAACAGTCATGTAAACAAATGACACTAAGATCATTCCAGATGGTAATTATCACTATAACAAAAATAATACAGGACAATGGGATCGAGTAACTGGGAAGATGGGAATAAAATTCCTTCGAGGGGTGAAGTAAGGCCTTTCTGAGGATGCTGATAGCGAACCTGAGAGCTGAGGCAGACATTACTAGTTCTGTTTTATAGATGAAAATCTGTGGCTCAAGTAAGTTGAGAAATTTCCTCCAGACCCCATAAGTACACAGCAGAGCCAAGCTTCGACCTTCACCAGTCAGACTCCGTCCAAGTCCTTGGCAAGATATCTAACATATTGTGCCAAGAGGCAGTATAATCACATGCAGGGGAATATACTACTTCCCCATCGGCACATTGGAGATAATAATATCTACCTTAGAAAACAAATATGAAAATTCAAGATAATTCAAGTAAACAAAGCCCTAGGCAGGCATGAGGCTTGACCCCTGCACAGCAAGTGCTCCACGCAGAGCCATTACTGCCATCAGCATAGATAATCGTGTTACTTCAACACCGAGAACTCATAGGATAAAGACTAGGTCTTACTCCAGCTTATCCCTAGAGTAACAACACACTAGGTGCTCAGTAGAAACTGGCCAAAGCAAGCTGGTCTGCATGCATGGTCTCTTCCACAGACTTCCATTGGTTGCTCCGTAACAGCGGTAACTAGTCTGTATGCTGTCTTTGAGGTTTCTCATAAAACTAGCATGCATTTTAGTTTCCAGAGATTCGTGGATTCACTATTAATTTTAATCATCATTCCTGTGATTACTTGATTACACAACCCACCTAACAATCTGATTAGCCCAAGAATATTATTCTATTTTCTGACAGTTCAAGCCCTCTGCTCTGTCAGACTAGTGCTTTTAGGCATTTCATGACTCACTGATATCTCAAACAGATGGCAGGCAAGGGCCACACATGACAAGAAATGATTTTCAAACCACTCTATTTGTTAGGAGGTCTGGTAAGTAGATTTTATGAAGGGATGGACTAACTTTTAAGTGGATAAAAAGAGGAGTCTGCATTAGCTGGGAATTTATGTTGTCGATGTATGCGCAGGTAATTACTATAGGTAAGTGGGAATCAAGCAGTCATGCAACTATTCTATATAAAATAAAGGTATGCCTTGGAAAATTCAGTAAGATATACAACCATGATTCACCCTCTTATAGCTATATTACCTTTCTGTAAAAAAAAGATTCAATATTTGAAAACACACTTGCTTATTTGAGAATCCAGTATATTTACTAGTGATGAATTATAAAAATAACCAAGACCAGACTTCCGCAAATGTTTTCTATTTCTGTTTCTTCTGTTGAGATCTCTACAAGTGCTTTCAATTTTAGCCCCATATGTCCTTTGAATCACCACTATAGCTACCAAAAAATTTCTCTTGAGTCTTGGGATAAAAGTTATATAATTATATGTTCTTCTATGAATTAAACTGGTTCCAGGGTTTGGTTCAACAAATTAAACCTCACCTAAGTGATTTCAACAAGGACTAACCCAACCCAAATTATGACTTCATTTAACCTGAAGCAAAGTTAGTGCACTGTTTGAGAATTTGGCCTCAAATAAAGCCAAGAACACCCTAGTATCTAAATCTGTTGGCCTGTTATTATATGACTGGCCTTGCCAATTTTGTGGCCCCTTTTATGACACGGCTAGTTCAAACTAAAGTTTTTATAGTATAAAATGGGTGTGTTACATGAGATCATATTGTAAAAATTCTTGATTGTAAATCCCAGTGTCCCTATTAATATGCATTTAAAAGTTTCCTGTAGCTTCCAGTACATCCACGCATGTCTATTATGGACGAAGGGTTGCTCAAACCTGCTCTCTAGCGGGAACCCGAGTGATGTACCGGACCAAGGGTGACTCTCAGAGCCACAGTCATCCCCATGCTCAATCAGGTGAAAGTACCCAGCAGTTTGCGGTTCACCCTCTGCCTCAGTTTAAGGCCACTCTACTTTGTCATAAGCTAGACAAATGGAGTAGGAGATACAATGATAGAAGAAAGGGGAAAGAGAATACTAGTAATAATACAGTAAAAATAGATTCTAGGCCAGCGATACCCCTAGGGGGTCTAGAAGAAGAAACAAAGCCTACCGCATAATTATGGAGTGTTCTTAATTTTTTTTTTAAATACCTTTTTATCTATTCTACTACTTGAATAGCATAACATCCCCTTCAGGAGAGGCACATCTTTCAGAACCTTGTTGTTAAGTCTTAATATCATCATTTAAATGAGAGGGAATCTGAGCACTTGGATTAGGTTACATGACTTCCCCAACACAGGAAACATGTCAAAGAATTAGGTTCCTGGCTTCCAATCTGTATCTTAATACTGACCTAAGGGTAGTTTCTGGATCAAAATTAGAAACCTGGACCAGGCCAGGACTCTAGTAGTGTTCAGGCAGAGTAGCCAAGCTAAGCGCTCTGCGCCAGTGGCATGCACTTCCATCTGTCGCCCAAGTGGACTCACTGTGATAACCAACACTGATGAGTGGTCCCGTGGGTCTTTGCACCACCCATGAACACCAGAGGAGAAACTACTTCAAAAAGCAGGCACAGTAAGATCAACACACACTGGAGTCATTTTTAACAGACTGTTCAAGTATCAAAAAAAGAGAGATTTTTCCATTACCCTGTACCTCCAATTACAAACAGCACCTTTGCAGATTAGGATCCAGGAAAAGACCCAGGTTTCTCCAGAAGGAAGGAAGATAAACCTTTCCTTTCTATGAATAGCCAAAGACACACACAGCCAGTTGGCGTCTGAGCTAAATTTGCAGTGTGTCAGAGAGAGATCAGGCAGAGGAAGTTTTTGCCGTCTGTTTACCAAAGAAGCAGATGAAAGAAAATAAGGAACTTGGAGTATATACACGTGAAGTGAGCTTGACATGGGCAGAGAGTTTATTCTGGCAGCTAAAAATACTGTGCAGACTGAGGGGGTGCCCCAAGCCTTTGTTTTAAAGATTAAGAATTGTTTATTACATGCTTTAGAGACTCTCAGAAGTGCATGATCTAATCTTCATTATAAGTATCTGTCGTGCGCTAAGACAAACATCCCTCCCTACATATAAATATCTTACATACCAAGACAGACAGATGGAGCAATATTAAGAAAACAAGCCCTGCAAAGCCTTCCTGTGGTGAAACACAGAAGTTCCAATCATCAGTCTAAACTCCCATTAATATCAAAGAAGCAGGGAAATAACTGACAACTTAGGCCCAACAAGCTTCGTGTGATAACAAACAGAGATCACTAGAAGCGAGATGTCTAAAGAAACTCTGAACACAAAATAGGTACCTTGGAGAGATTTCAATTCACATGAGGAAAAAAGCGGAAGACAAGTAATAGATTTAAGTCAAACAAGAGGCAAATAAGAAAGATGCTTGGCTTTAAGGTGGGGAATTAAAAGAAGTTTGTGAATGCCCTAGCCGGTTTGCTCAGGGGTTAGAGCGTCAACCCACAGGCTGAAGGGTCCCAGGTTCAAGAGCACGTACCTCGGCTGCAGGCTCGACCCCCGGCCCCAGTCAAGGTGCATGAGGGAGGCAACCAGTCAATGTGGCTCTCTCACTTCGATGCCTCGCCCTCCTTCCCACCCCTCCCTTCCACTCTCTCTGGGGGGAAAAAAAATTTCAATGGAAAAAATATCCTTGGGTGAGGATTACCAACAACAACAACAACAAGGAAGCAGGGTCAGAGGTGGTATTTAATTTTTTCTCAGTCCCTCAAGAATTTCCCAGAGGGATGGATTTCCAAAAAATGTGCTAGAGGACCCACATCCAAATCAGCCAATGTCATGTGGCTACGACCAAGGGTTCCCGAAGAAGTTTTTATTCAGAGGGTAAGAAAGGACTTTATTTCCAATCTGGCTGAGTGAGAACTTTCTACACACCTCAGGTCACTGGAGGGCTGGCCTCAGAAGCCACCAGCTGTGCCTTGGTAGCAGGACCCCTCTCTGGCAGTACAAGGTGAAGGGTGTGGGGAGGAGAGGGCTGAAGTGGGAGGAGGGGAGCACAGCTGTTGTGCTGCTGGAGGTCCCAGGCAGGCCTGATACAGGAGCCTTTCCCTCTGTTCTCCAGGCCACACTGTGGGGTCAGGCAGGTCATGTTCCCCCAGCTGAAGAGCAGCTCTCAGGAGAGCCCCTCCCCACAGCACTGTCTTTTTAGTGGAAGAAAGAAAGGCAGGCTTGGCCTCCACACTGAGCATGTGTGGTCATGAATCCCCTCCCCTGGCTGGGAGATCTCAGTTCACTTTCAACGGGAGGGGGGGCACAGTCTTCCTCTAATAGGATTCTTGCACCTCCCACTGATCCCTTTCCTGCAGCTCTCCCCTACCCCTCCATACCTGTCAAACCCACCCTCTGCCAAGGGACCCCTCCCAGCCC